AAAAAAAAAAAAAAAAATATAATTAAGTAATCAATTTAGGGTCTAATTGATTGATATTTTTATGCAACTAAATGTTTTTGTTTATCCAACTTATTCCAACTTAATTATAAAATACAAAAGAATATAAAAAAGTTGAATTTAATACATAAACTAAAGAATTTAAATCTAAATTTTTGTCCTTAAAATATAATAGTTAACCCAACTGAAGCTTTGGGTTTTCCATAGTTCTGGTTTACTAAAGTTCTCCATTCCTATAATATAATCTATATAATTAAAAAAATTGTGTTTGTGTGACTAACGTTTAGATTAGCCTATATAAATAATCTTTGAATTGTTTAATGTGTTATTAATCTGCGCCTCTGCACTTGACCTATTACGTTCTGTTTGATATATACGTTGTTAATTACTAATGTTGTATAACATTTTACATAATTAATTTAAAATACTTAGAGCTAGTTACATAAATATAACTAACCCTATAACTAAGTTTGATCTATATAAGCTATTACTAAACTAATCTATATTAATTTTAAACTAATTATAAAAACTATTCTAAATAATTAAAAAGTTTTCGTTGTAGAATCCCAGATCTTCTTTATATGAGTACCATCCGTTATCGAACCTATTAGTCTATCTCTCGTTACTATGTTTATATTTTTATCAAAATTATTATTATTATTTTTTATTTTTTTCTCATTATTTTTATCTGTTTTTTTGTTTATATTATTTATTATTTTCTCAGCTATGCTATCCTCTTTTTCCTTACGTTCCTGTTTTCTTTTTCTTTTCAAATCTTGTTTCTGTATCCCCATAATTTGTTCCAAACGTGCAATTTCATCACATCGTGGTTGCCAAATCCTATTTTTAAATTCGTTGTAAATAAAATTCCAACATTCTTTTATAATGCATCGTTCTCCCTTAATATTAGTTAATTTATTAAATTTGTCATTAAAGACTCCTCTCAACATCTCCCAAATACGGCATTTTTTCAATAATATATTTGAAGGTTCTTCCAAAATTGTTATTATATTGACATTATGATCTCTCAAAATTGAAATGTCTTCTATTCTATCGTTGTCTTTGAGAAATTCTTCAAATTTACTTATCGATTCACGCGCAATTTCTTCTAATGTTGCTTCATTATCTTCGCAAACCCACATATGATCCCATGTCTCCGACTCCTTTTTTCCACATCTCATACACAAGTTATCTTCAATACAATTGACGTCTCGTTTAAAAAGAGTTTCATAGGTCGGGAGTTCTTTAAGCAAATTTTTAATTCGATAAGATCTTTCTCTAGTATCCTCAATACTGCATTGTCTTTTACTGAATGTTGTACGATTGCTAATAAATTCTAAAGTTGTTCTCCAATCAAATTCTTTTTTAAAATTGTACATAAATAAATCGTTCAATTTGTTACTATTTAGGATTTCGTTCTTCCATAGCGCCATAGAAACTTTTTTCCTCCATTTCCTAAAACCTCCTGTTATAATATTTTTCTTCCATATTAGATTATATTCATTTACTAGTAATGCATTATCCGATATATCGATTTGGTATCGCATCTTTTTTTCTTTGAAATCTCCTAGTAAAATTTTATCTATTCTGTTTTTAATTTCTTTTATTGTATGCATTTCATCGTCCAATGCATCTACTATCTTTATATTATTTTTAAATAAAAAATGTTCTATATAAAGTAGCTCTATATAATAATCACTATCTATTTTTTTTCTTTTACTATTAATAATAAAATCTTTTATTAATTTACTAATCGCTTTATTTATTCCTAAAACAATCTTGCTATTTTGATTAATTAATATTAAACCGATAATTATGGCTCTAATTAAAACTTTGTATTCATTTTTGTTGAGAACTTCATAACTGGCTGAAAAACAAATTTCTTCTTCTTTTTGAACGTTGTTTTCTTTTAAAATCCAAACTATATTATAAAAATATGTTCTTTTTCCATATTTATTTAGATCATTTTTGATTTTTTTAAGGTCTATAATCAAAAAATATTTTTTGATCCTCTCTTTAGTGTCATATTCCGATAAACTATTTTTCATTATTGTTATGAATTCCTTATCTGCTTTAATTATCGAATCTATATTTTCTATCCTTTCGTTAATTTTTTCGTTCGTTGTTTCTTCTTCATTAATTGTCTTTACACATTCGTTTTTCTTAATTAAATTGTTTAACGTTTCAAAAGGTTTTATCGTTTCCTCTTCTTTCCTTGTATCTATTATTCTACTATGTTTATTTTCTATATATATCAAACATTGATTTGATGATGCTTTTTTACTTATATTTTTCTTACATCCTTCGCATATCGTTAAATTCGGTGAATTATTCCATCCTTCGTTATCTCCTTTGATTACGTAATGAATACCTATTCTCTTGTAATTTTTACTTCTAGATCTTTTTTTATCTTCTGCAAAAACTGGAAGTTCTCCTTCTTCATTCCATGATACTATTGTATTTTTATCTTGTTTTTTATCTTCATCAAAATATTTAATATGAATATTTTTCTTTTCTATTGTTCTCATATATTCGTTTTTTATTTTCCTCGTGTTTTCATTTGTATTTTCTAAAATTTTTAATTCTAATTCTTTAAACCAAAGAGGAACTTTCCCTTTTGTACTTACGCCTGATTCTTTACACATGTGTTTCCATTTTTTCATATATATTCCATCTGATTCTAATACATCTTCAATAAACATTATTTTTTTATTTCTTCGTGATGCTGCGCTTTTCATAATATTTTTCTCATCAAGAATTTCTAAGATGTCTGTATTACCACCTTCTATTAAATGATTTTTATTAATATTGCTATATAATTCGTGGTCGCATATTTTAATGTTTTCGTTGTTTAAAATCTTAATAGCTGCTATGCACCAATTGTTATTAGTTTTATATGATAAATTAAAATCACCCGGACATTTCGATGTCCATATTCTCTTTTGTTCTTGAGACATTACAATCTTGAACAATTTCTTAAGTTTGTCGTTACCATTCGCCTGGTATAATAAATTTTTGCTGAGCATTTCTAATTGTAGGTCGTATATATGTTTAACATCATATAAGTCTTTGTCATAAATTATAAAGTTGGGCGTTGACCGTGTTAGACTTGCTCTTTTCTTAATTATCATATTTAATCTTGTCATTAATTTTGTGCATTCATTTTTCGTTAAAACTATAGCAGCCAGTTGATATTCAATCCTCAGTACGATTACTATATTCCATACCGCTATTATTTGTTTTTCATTTAGTTTTTTCCAGTTGAAGATGTTGCAAGCACTATTGATGATTGATATAATTTTATCTTTATACACCTTTCTTCTATTATCGTATCTAAAATAGATTCCTAGGTATCGATTTCCTTCTTCGCTGTTCATCTTATCTATTATATTTCCCTCTATTCTTAGTTCTTTATCTTTACTATTAATTTTGATTAATTCGTATTTACCTACATTCGCTTTAATATCGTTGATGTTAAAAAATTGATGGCATATATCTATCATTTCTTCTAAATTTTTTTTATTATTACTTATGATCGTAGTATCGTCCATAAATGCCATCACGTTTATGGAAATATTCAAATTTTCTATTTCATTTTTTCTAAAATTTATAATTTTGTCTTCTTCAAAATGATATCCATTTTCCTTTTTAATTTTATCTAATCTTGCTAGAAGTGCGTCGTAAAAAATCCTCCACAATATCGGCGACCACACTTCTCCTTGATCTAATCCATCTTCAACGTAATATTCATCCGTCATTTCATTGTTTACTAAAATTCTATTATATCTGTTTAAGCTGATATCTAAAACTAAATTTATAAATTTTGATGGTAATCCTATTCTTTTCATGCTTAATTCTAACATTTTTATATTGACTGAGTCGTAGGCCTTTGAAATGTCCATGAATAGAATCCAAGCTTCTTTCTTGTTTCTGTTAGCGTCTTCAATTATATGTTGTATGATTTTAATTGGTTCTAGCGTACTTTCATTTTTGAGTGCTGCATAATTTGTATCCGTAAGAATTTTGTTTTTTGTTAGAATGTCGCTCAGTCTGTTTACTAATATTTTGAACCATATTTTCCGTGCAGTTTCTAGTAGTACTATAGGTCTTGTTAGCGTCAAATCTTGGTTCCAGTGTGAACGTTGTGTTTTATTAATCGGGTAAATTAGACCTCTTTTCCAATCTGTTATTGCGTTCTCTTTTTCCATGCTTTCATTGATTATTGCTAAAAGAATTTGTCTTGTCAGATTTTTGCTTTTCTTCCAAAAGTCGTAACTAATTCCGCTCATGCCTGGTGCTTTATTCGTTTTCAAATTGTTTAATACATTTTCTAATTCATCCATTTCTATTTTATCCATGAGTTTTTTATATATTGTATTGTCGATTGTTTCCATCGGTTTGTATATTTCACGCCATTCGTGGTTGAATTCTATCTCGTCTAGATCTATATTACGCTTCGCAGTCCATTTACTATAGTGATCTATTGCCATTTGTTTAATTTTTTCTTTTTCTTTTTCTATCGTAATCCTTCCATATTCTCTCTTGACTAGTCCAGACATATCTATTTTTTCTCTTTTCTTTTCTAAAATTCTATTTAGCATTTTTCCTATGTCTTCTTCTAAATAAATTTCTCTTTTTCTTATATTGATATCTATAATATTATCGTTTATATCTTCGTATAAATTTTGCATTATTTTTTTCCTCTCTTTCTCTCTATCCTCTAGTTTTTTCCTGTATTCGTGTTTTCTTAGGTGTTCTATATTTATTAAATTTTCTTTATTTTTTTCTATTTTATCGTGACTTCTGATTAAACTAATTATTTTCCTTGCGTTTGGCTTTCCTGTATCAGTTGTTCCCCAATCTTCTATAATTAGTTGTTTGTCAAAATTTTTATAAGTATCTGGACTAATTTTTATTTCTCTTACCCTCCATTTTAATTTGATAACTTTTTTAATCAATTTAATTATTTCATGTTCGATGTTGTTGATTTTTTCTAAGGTTTCGTATTTTCTGATTAAATGATATATTTTGTTCTCAAGCAAATCCTCGTTTTTGTCTTTTCCTTGTTTCAATTCCATTTCTTTAATATCTTTGATCTCATTTATTCGTCTAATTTTTTCTTCTTCATATATTGTTACTAATGTTGCCCAAATATCTTCTCTGTCTAAATCTGTTTCTGTTATATCCAATAATTTGTCGTCTAGTCGTTCTGCTATTATTTCCCAGTCGTTTGGTTCTAAAATTATTCGTTTAAGTTCTACTTTAACTTTTTTGAAATATTCTTTTTTATTTAAATTTAACGATTCTTTCAATTCTATGTTAATTGTAAGTGCTTTGTGATCTGTCTCAAAATCTTCTATATCTAAAATTTCATGACTTGAAATTTGCCCTAAAATGTTTTCGCTCGCGAAAATATAATCTATTCTGGATGAATATTCTCCACTCTTCCAAGTATCTAGTATATCTTTCCCTGCTAGACATTCGTGAACATCTTCTAAGCCATGTTTTTTGATTACTTGAATTAAAGGTTTGCTTTTTATTTTTTTGTTCGTTGATTCGTTGAAGTCTCCAAGGATAAGTAATTCTTGATTCAGTTTCTGAGCTTCGTTGATCCAACTGGTTATCCTTTTCTCTATTGATTGTGTAATTTCTTTATCATTATTGGGATTATATATTCCTATTACTTTGATTCCTTTTTGTTTATCTTTGAATAAAATATCTAATTTAAACACGTGACCATCTATTTCTTCAACTTTATATCGTCGGTCGTTAATATTTTTCTTTAGCATTATTATGATCCCACTTTTTGTGTTGTCATCATTGTAACTACTATTTATAACTTCGTATTTGTCCCAGCCTTTATAAATATATTTTCCTTTTTGTTTTGTTAGTTTTGTCTCCGTGATGATCGCTATATCCCATTTTTCTTTCCCTAAAAAAGTTCTTAGATTTCCTTGTTTGTTTACGTTATTCAATCCCCTCACGTTTATACAACCAATTTTTAGTTTTTGATTTTTTTGTATTTATGTGTTGTTGTTATGGATTTTTCGTTAATCTCTTTTTTTTCTTTTTTCTTGTTTATATATTTTTTGTTGTTTGTTTTTATTGTCGTCTCTCGAGATGTTTCACTTACTTCTCCTTCTTCTTCTTCTTCTCCTTCCCTTATTGTATTGTAAGTTTGTGGTATCCAGTTAATGGCGTCCAGCCATTCGACGCCCGTCATTGTTTCTGTAGTTTCCTTCATTCCTTCTTCTGTTATATCCATTGTAGTTATTTTCTCCGTACTCGTTGTATCTATCGGCATTGTAACCGTTGCTATTGTAGTCATTGTTTCCGTTATATCTCTGTTGTTGGTAGTAAGAACTTTGTCGTTTTCCTCTAGTCTCATCTCTGCCATTTTCTCTATTATGGTTGTCGTTAAATCTTCTTCTTGGGTATGTATGGTTTCCTCTTTTGGTGTAGGCGTTGTATCTATTGTCATCGTGGGCGCTAAAATGTTGTCATTGCATGTCGTATCTAAAATTTCCTTCATTGTCGTATCTGCCTTTCCTATAGCTATACGCTTCATTTTGGTTGTCATTCCTGTTGTTTCTATTTTCGTGTGTACTATTTCTATTGTTGAAATAGCATTCATCTGTGATGTGATTGTTTTTTTTGCATATGTTGCATCTGGTTCTTTTGGCCTTTCCTCCATTGTACATTTCTTCTTGAAATCGTTTACCAAATCCATTATCGTTTCTTTTTTCGTTACGAAAATTATTTTGCCTTCCCGATCCCGTCCGAAAAAACCAAGTAAAAATCTTTCCATCGATTTTGATTTTTTTATTAATTGCTTGTTTTCTGTCATCTTCGTTGTTGAAGTATATCTTCATATTGTATGTTCCTTTCGTCCTGTTGTTGGTTTTGAACCAATATCTTGCGCTGGTAGTCTTAAGTACCTTTGAAAATGTTGTTTCATTGATATCATTGGGTATATCGATTATTTCCGCCATAATTCTTCCTCGTTGTTTGATCATGTGATATTTGTAATTCATTGGTTCGATTTTAATCATTTTATTCCTGACTAGGACTCCTCATGTATTAAATAGTTCGTCCTCTGTACATGTAATTTCCATTTCTAGTTTCATACTTATCCATTTTCCGTTGCCTGTTTTTTGTGTTACTTTTTTAAGTTTACCTAGTTTGTCTTCTATTGCCTGAATAACTTCGTTGATGTCTGTATTTTCTCCGTCTATTCCGGTTGCTGATATGGTAATTGTTTTGTTCAATTTGTTTAGCCATTCTAGCTCTCTGAATTTTCCTATCATTCCCAATATTCTTCCATCATTTATAAAATCATTTTTTGCTGCTTCTGTGAAAAAGCCTAAGTAAGTGTATTCGTTTCTGTGATGAGTAGTTCTCCCAAGTGTGTTCACGTGATATTCTAAAATTTTATTGGTGTTGAGGTATTCTATCATCGATTGGTCAGTTTGTCCATCCCTTATTTGGACTGTGAAAAGTCCCGCGAAATATTTCAGATCTTTTTCCGATTTTGGTTGGTGCACGGATTCGTTACTTTTGTTGGATTTTTCTCCCATGTTGTGATCGGCGGTGATAGCCATTGTTAACGATTGGTCCCTTGATTTAGTAAAATTCCTATTTTTGCTCTCGGCCTGCATTCCCGAAGAATTATTGGTGTTCTCAATTGACTGGTGTGATGCTTTGTTGTAAATCTGGTATTTTTGGTTCATTTTCCCTTCATCCCATGATTCTTCACTGGGTGTGCTGCTTTCTATTTCCCAGGTATGTTGAAGTGTATCGTTGTCTTCGTCGCTGTCCTCGTCAAGGTTAGTCATAGTTTTCTTTCTACATTCATTCATTTTTCTTTCTTTTTCTTGTTTTTCGATCCTTGTTCTATCTTCGTTATCTACAGCTCCTAGTTCAGTTTGTATTTGGTGTGCTTTTATAGATGTGTTTTTGAAATAGTATTCTTCTTTGATGTTCCATTGTTCTTCTTTTAGTCGAGCCCATTCGTTCATTTCTAAAGTTTTTTGTTGTATCATATCGTGTGTAGCTGTCTTGTAATCTTCTATGTATTCATTGAATTCTTTTGTTCTTTGGTTATTGAAATGTCTTAGGCATATCGTGATTATTCCTCTAATAAAGCAGCCTAATATTTCATCTTCTGAACCCAAAAATTGTGCTATCTCTTTGTCGTTATCGGTTATTTCCATTCCCGCGTTTTGTATTATTGCTCTGCGCTCTTCTTCGCTTTTTTTACGTATCCTTCCAGGGCTACAAAGTCTTCTCTTGACGGTGTTATACCCATATTTCTAATAAAATTTTATTTTGCTGCGGATTATTATGAAAATCGATTTATGCAGGAGAGAGTTTTTCCTCCATTAATCTGCGCCTCTGCACCTGACCTATTACGTTCTGTTCGATATATACGTTGTTAGTAATTACTAATGTTGTGTAACATTTGGTATAATCTATTAATGTGTTCGCGCCTGATCTATGCTTAATAGTTAAGACCACCTGATCGGCAAATTCATTCTAATTACTAACGTACGGGAGAATTAATTTTGATTCTCGGTAATCACCCTTTCACTAATACTTATAAATGATAGGTAATTAACTTTATAAGAATAACAATAGATCAGTATAATCTATATTTATATAATAAATAAATTTTAATATAGAAAATAAATTTTTTTATAATAATGAATCGGTAACTGACATTTTTCTAATACTGATAAGAAATAAGTAATTAACTATCTTTAGCAATAATGATAGATCCCTATAACGGATGTTTTTTTTTTGAGATGTATTTTTCAATTATATAGATTAATATAGATTTTTTTAACAATAGAACGTTATGATGATATTTTTGTTTTTATATCAATAAATTATTTAAAATTAATAATGTATTTGTAAACACATAAATAAATAATAAATTTTACAATACTTCAACATCTCCTTCGTGTAATAATAAGATTTGCATCAAATTTCCATATATATAACACATCTACTTATCTATCTAACTAAAAAAATTTGTTTGACGTTTGGATTAGTCTCCGTGTAAATAATTTGAATTGTGTAACTTGAAAGTTGAAATCCCATGCCACATAATTAAAACCCGTGACATGCCTACCGCCTGATCCATTTATCATCAAAAACTATTCGATTCCAATCAACTAACCAATTTTTTTTTTTTTTGATTATTAATTTTTTTTGTCCAAGTTTTTTTTAACTCCTTTTTTTAAAAAAAATTTTCAAACCGAAAAAAAATTTTTCTCCCTTTTTTTTTCCAACCCGAAAAATTTTTTTTCTCATTCTTTTCCCGTTTAGGTTTAATTTTTTTTCCCAAACTGAAAAAATTATATTTTTTTTTATTAAATAATCCCCCATTCTTTTGGTCTTTTTTTTTTTATTTTTTTTTCGATCTTTTTTTTAGACCATATTGTTATTTTTTTTAAAAAAAATTTTTTTTTTCACTCTTTTAGATCGGATTATTGTCCTTTTTTTTCAGAATTTTTTCGTACTTATTTTTTTCGGATTCCTTTTTTTCGGAAGTTTCCCTTTTTTTTAAACTGATTTCTTTCTTTACCCTTTTTCTTCCCCCAAATTTTTTTTTAAAATTTTTTTTCTTTTTCTTTCAATTTTTTATTATTATTAAATAAAAAATAAAAAATTATATATTAAATATATTTACAAAATTATTATTTTTTTAAAAAAATCACCACAACATATCAAATATAGGAAAATTGACCAATGTTGATAGAAAGATGAATAAGATTTTTCAATTAAATTGAACGCTGGATAAATAGTTTGATTTTTCAAATTCCAATTAATTAATTATAAAATATGTAAAAATATCAATTTTTTTTTGAAGAAATTGTTGGTTTAATAATAGATTATTATAACCAAATCCATATCCGGAATTCTCTAAATAACTACCAGATTTTTGAATAAAGATTTTAATTCTGATTTAATTAAATTAAGTACCAAAAGAATAATAATAAATGAAATGAATAGATTCTATAAATACATTTAATTATTCAAATATTCTTTTTAAGTTGGTTATAAGTTTAAGATTCATGTAATATAATATAATAAGAAATAATTATAAAGTTTATAAATAATAAAAAATTAATCAAAAAAATGAGGGTGAATGAAAAAATAAGGAGAGTAAAATGGAATGAAAGAAACAAAGGGGGGAGAAATGAAATGGAGCAAAGGGGAGTAAAAGAAACAAAAGGAACAAAAAAGATCAAGTGGGAATGAAAAAAATGAAAAGAATGGAGGGGGACGAAATGGAGCAAAGGGAATAAAAAAATAAAAGGAACAAAGGGTAGTGTAAAGAGAAGTGGGAATGGAAAAAAAAATGAAAATGACAACGGATAGTGTAAAGGAACGAAAAAGATGAAGTGGGAATGGAATAAAAATGAAAGAGACAAAGGGTATTGTAAAGGAATGAAAAAGGCGAAGGAACGAAGAGGAAATAAAAAACAATGGAAAAAATGAAGGAAGGGAAGAATAAAAAGAGCAAAAGAGATGAAAAGACAAAAAGAAAACAAAAAAATAGAGAAGGGACGAAATGAGATAAACAGGGGACCAAATAAAAACAAAACCCATAAAACTAAAAGAAGAAATAAAGTTAGTATGGAACAGAAATTACATGTAATAAATAAACAAAAACAAAAAACTACTGTAACCATCTTTAATTTACTTAGTATTACATTATAATACTAATTTTTTTATTTAAACAACCTCATTGGTCCCGGTGCGAAGCAACGGGTGACTGCTAGTATTATATTATTGAAATTACATAATACTATATAATGGGGTGATCATCACCATTGGCCAGAATTATCGATTTTTACCGGCACTATATTACTTTAATGCTGGTCAATCGTCATAATTTCAGTCACAGGTGATCATCACCCCTGGTGATAGTTAGAAAAATTCTTTTTTATAAAAAAAATTTATTAAAAAGTCAGAATCAAAAAAGTCCGTGGCTTGGCTGTACCGCCGATGTGGCATTTCAGATGTACAGTCGCGTCCGAAAGTGACGCCCGATTTGAAAATGAAGACAAAAGCAAAAATATCTGTATTTTTTCACTAGTGTATACATTAGTAAAATATTCATACCTAGTTTGTTTCTCATACTAAATCAAATTTTCATAATGCCAGGGTGGCAACCTTCTCAAAAACAGAACTATTTAAATTTTTATTTTTTCTTTAATATAGCTTTAAATTCGCCTACAGCTCTTGGGAGAGGGACACACTTCTGGATAATATATTGGTTCATTTTTAAATGTTCTCTACTTGGTTTAAACCAAATAAATTTGTTGGAAAATTAGTAGTTGCAATTTTATTTAATTTTAGCTTATTTTTGGCCTAAAGATAAAGGATATAATCATCTGGAAACCTGGGATTATCTTGGCATCCAGTGATCAGAATTCGATGAACAAAGGCTCATTGGATTTGTCTCGTCAAGATGAGTTGAATGGTGAATGTCTCATATCTCTAGGGTTAATAGATACTAAGGTGTACCTTAAAACATTTTTTTGATGGTTTGGCCTTTATCCTGAGATATAATGATGCTACATGTATGAACTGGCCACCATTCGACGTGTATCAATGAGACAAATCCAATGAGTCTTTGTTTGTCAGAATAGAATCACTGGATAGTGAGATATTCCCAATTTCGTGAAATTTAGAGTTTCGAAAAATTTTCAGGTAAAGAATGTTTTAAGTTATATCTTGGCATCTATTGATCCTAGAGATATAGGCCAACCACCATTCACTTCGTCTTGACGAGATGAATCCAATGAGCCTTTGTTTGTCGAATTCTGATCACTGGATGCCGAGATGATCATAGTGACTTAATAATTATGGCCTTCATCTGTAAGTAATCGGGCAACACTTTCGGACGCGACTGTACTTAACCAATTAATTTAGATTTTTGAAATGGAATATGATTTTTTTTTTTGTCATGTTTAATAAAAATCAACCCTTGTATTTGATAATTATTTCGGAGATTTATCGTTAAGATACTATCGTATTACTATAAAAGGTTTTTACACATGAACCTTTGGAACATATTAAAAAATAAATTAGTCGTTTTTTTTTTGGAAATTACCTGTTAGTTAACAATAACTTTGTTATTGAAAGAAAATTATTTATGTGATATCATAATTCACTAATCGCATAAAATACAATGATTTCTTATAATTATATCATTCGAAGTTAATAAATTCACTTTTGGATACACAAAAAATTCGTAACTACATTTATCATTCATCGCCTTTTTTTGTATTGAAAGATTCAAATATTTTTATGGTTAGCTGTATTGTATGACAACTGTTATTTTAATGATCATAAAACGAAAATAGTAATCTTGTAAACATAAATGGGAATAATTCACTTGTTTGTTTATTCCTTCTATATCCGACAATCGTTTTTATCTTTATCGAATTAACCTTATTAGATGTTGGTGTAACTATTATGATTCCTGCAGTTTGATCGACAAAATGTCCTAATTCCGTGAAAATCCTAAAAAGAAAATAATGAAATATTAATAATTATATCAATGCTTAAACCTTCTCAACATGATATAAAATCACCTAATCTCATTAATTCCTAGGAAATCATGAAAAGAAATCAATGAAATATCTAATTACATCAATAATCAAACTTTCTCAACAAGATGTAAAATCACCTAATCTCATTAATTCCATGAAATCTCAAATAGGAAATAATGAAATATTAATTACATCTATGCTTCAAACTTATCTAACAAAATATAAAATCACTTAATCTCATTAATTCCATCATTCCATGAAATCCTAAAAAGAAATTAATGAAATATCTAATTACACAATACACAAACTTTCTCAAAAAGACGTAAAATCTCCTAATCTCATTAATTCCATGAAATATTAAAAAGAAAACAATGAAATATTAATTACATCTATGCTTAAGTTTTCTCAACACGATATGAAAACCACTTAATCTCATTTAATTCCATGAAATTCTAAAACAGAAATAATGATATGCTGATTAAAAAAATTTCTTCATAATGATTTCTTTATAAATATCGAGTTTGATGATTTTTTTTTAAATCAAAAAAAAAAAACCAATATTATTTTTTTTTTTTTTGAAAATTAGTTATTTACGAAATCATGTCTGATATTAACCTCTCTTGTCTTATCCAAGGAACTGACCTTGATAAGTATTTTAAAATTAGTATCGATAAGAACAGTGACATTTATGATCTTAAGGAAACTATTTGGAATAAAAAAAAGAACACCTTTTCCAGCATTGATGCTAACGACCTAATTTTATGGAAAGTAAAAGTCCCCATCAGCGACAAGGAGAAATTCAAACAACTTGAATATACCGAGTCAATTATCGAGGATGTTTTAGGCGGTACAAAGCTAAATGATGCAACTGTTGGCGTTAAAGAGATCTTTGGTAATTCTCCCGCAAAAAAACATATTCATATTATCATTGGACAACCTACCACTGAGCAGTCTACAAATACCACTCAAAAAATGAATCAAGAGATTCCGAGTTTAACTCAACAGGCGAAAGCAATGTCCTTGGAAGGTATGTAGAAGAAAAACTTTTGTGATTACAAAATTTATGATTGGGATAATTTCTTATCGTCAATATAATGACAAACTATAAATCTTTTAAAGAAGAATCGGACGAATATAATGATAGAAGCGTACCCTCAGGTAATTAATTATGGATTATATGATATTAAAATAGATTTCAACATTTTAATATTTAGTCCATAAGAAGTTTAATCATGCCTTTACGACTTTATTAAACCTATTTATTTCAATAACTTCTTAAAAAGTCTCTTTGCTTCTTGTTAATGTGATACACAATTAAATATATCATTTTACTCTTTTCAAAGAAAATACGAGAACTTGGCAGTCTTCACGTAATAACTCATCACGATCCAATTTTAGACAAGGTATATTTTTTTTCAATGCAACTTTTTTATATTAATAATTAAAAATAATTATTAATAAAAGGCAATATTTCTATAAAGGTACCAATCCATTCGGAACTTCGCCATTTGGTCAAAATAAACGGAATAATGGAATGAATAATCAATCTAGAATTAACCTAACTGGCAAAACACCACTTACTTGCAAAATTCTTTTATTGGGTGGAACTGGGACTGGAAAGTCAACCATCATTAATATGATGGCAAATTATTTTCTGAGTGGTACTTTAGAAAATCCAAAAGTCGTTATTCCAACCAAGTACTTTAAAGTTACTGAAAATGGTACTATTTTAAAATAATTATAAATACAAATAATAAAATTTAAGACATTAATTTGCTTTATTATAATCTTATTTCAGATTTTGTAAGAAATAATTCTGAAGCGAAAATTGCAGATGTAACCAGGAGCCAAACTACAAGCTGTTGTAACTACGAATTTAAACATCCAGGAAATTCATTCTATGATTTTATCTTCATTGATACTCCAGGAATGAGCGATACAAATGGAATAGATCAAGATGACAAGAATATTGAAGAGATTGTTAACGCGGCAATTAATGTTGGTTCATTAACTGCTATCGTCATTATTGCTAGTGGTACCGAAGCTAGAGTAACTCCAACGATAATGAATACAATAATTCGCCTACGGAACAGTCTTCCTGATGAAATTGTCTATAATAATCTCTTACTTATTTTAACAAAGTGTACAAAATCCAGCGCTTGTTTCTCTGAGGATGCTTTTGCAAATGAGATTGCAAAACCAAAAGTTAGTATATCATTTTTATTATAATAAATAATTAAAAAAAATTAACAGTTCTTAATCAAATCACACACTCGGTTTTTTAGCAAATTTTTTATATGGACAACCAAGTTTTTTGCACTGATCCTCAAATTTGGCTAAACGACGAAGATGAATATTCTATCGTTCAACATCAATGGAATAAATCTTTTAAAACATTCGATAACCTCTTAAAAATGATCACTGAAATGAATGCTACCTCAACTAAAGCCTTTACAGAAATGAGAGACCTTCGTAATAAAATTAAATCGGAAATCGCTACAATTTCTCAAACTACTACAAATATTCAACAAATACAAGACAAACTTGAAGCTGCATATATAGCTTTACAGAAAACTGGCGATAAAAAGAATTCATTCTCTAACTATACAACAACTGAAACAATAACAATTACAGTACCCGTTGAAACAAGCATTATAAATACGGTCTGTACAACCCATCAGAGAAGTGGCATTATTTGTCATAAAGATTGCGGTCTTGAGTTTACTGGTAACAGTGGAACAACTAATTTTAATGGCTGTTATTGTATGGGAAGCGATAATAAATGTACGGAATGTGGATGTGACACTTACAGGTACTACTTAAATTTAACTTCATTTCCATATTTCATCAACATTGATATTAATACTACTATTTTAATCTTTCAAATAAGCCACTTCCATACTAATGTTGAGATGAAGACCGAAACTAAGACAATTAACAAAGTAATTAACAAAGTTCTCGAAGATGTAAAAGCGCAATATGATATGGCCGATGCTGATCATAAAAGGATTAGTAATGATGCTAACCAATTTCAACAAGCATTCGCTAAACTTCAAGCTAAAGCAGATGATAATTACAATAAAATTCGCCAACTTTGTTCTGATCTTAGTAAGATTTGTTCTCGATTCAATTTTGTTGATGAACTCAATGCGAATATTAAGAATATGAAATTGGATGCAAAAACCTTAAAAAATTTAGATTTACGAGATAAGGCTGAATCTGAGATTAGGAAGCTTGAAGCTTATATAGATGGTTTATCAAGACAAGGTTAACTTTATATGTGTTAGTTAAAATAATTTATTTAACCTTTTTTTTACTTCAAATCACCGGGGGGTGATCATCACCATTGGCCAGAATTATCAATTTTTACCGGTACTATATTTTTTTAATGCTGGTCGATTGTCATAATTTCAGTCACCAGTGATCATCATCCCCGGTGATAGTTAGAAAAATTCTTTTTGTTAATCACTAAATAAATTCTTTGGTAAATAAAGCATTATATTACGAAGATTAAATAAAATTGCTCAGTTATTAAAGATATTTTTTTTGTATATAAGTATATACAGTAAATTAGTCAATAAATATCTAATTAGTTAATATAAAGTGAGCGAGATTATGGAACTTTATTAGAATTTACAAATGCAATAACGTAATGCAGTCCTTAAATATACCTCTTCCTGTTGAAGTCAATTTTCTGAATGCCTATTTCCCGAACTGTAGTATTTCCTAAAACTTCAGTTTCTTGAACACTAATTTCCGAATCCCAATTTATGAGAATCATATGAAACATTCCGAATAGAAAAATTTATTAAAAATGAAATCGGAAAAAAGGAGCATCTCCGATCGATCTGATATGCCTAAAAGATGAAACAATACACCTATAAAAATACAAGTTAATAAATAACAAAATTACATAAAAAGAATATTAGTTAGATTATAAAGGGAAAAAAATTCGGTTTTAAAAAATTGAAAATAACATTAAAAAAAACTTTCGGTCAAAAAGAGGCCAAAAAAAAAAAAGAAATTAACATTATTAAAAAAAAATGGATTTTTTTTTTAAAAATCGACATTTAGATAGCTGCGTAACATCCCAACTCAAATATTCAGTATCAATTTTTTATTGATCCCTTGTGCACCGTGAGCAGGATTTCCAGAGATTTTCATGTTTATAGCGATTGCTGTGGAAAAAGTCATATTTTGAAATGAGTAAGATTGTAACATTTTTGTTTATGTTCAAATGCATAAACACATTGAAGGCGTTAATCTATAACGTAATAAGAATATAACAAACCATTTGACGATCGTTTCTATCATCACATCTAACATTCTTCGAACTTCTAAACATCTAATTGACTTGTATGACAATTATTCCACATATAATTGAATTTTCAGTGTCAGGAAGAAAAATACAGAAAGAACACCTAATTATGAATAAACGTGCTGTGTGTATACATGGCGAATGCAATTTTTTACAGTAATATAATAAGTTTAATTCGTGATCCACGAGCCAACTGCAAAGGATCTGTAAAAAATGGGAATCTGGCGTGGCATCAAATAAAAAAAAATTATGTGAAAAATTATTGTAAAAAACAAACTATTTGAAATTTTGGGATAAACATTATGTATTAAAACATGTTAGTATCGAATGGGTTCACATATTAAAAGGCATTATTGCACCTAAATCATATATGAACTCACGGATCACGAATTAACAATTTATTTCATCGCTCATTAAATAAATTAATGAATGTAGCAAACAGAAATATTTTTGAGAATTAATATAAAACAATTATAAAATTTTCGTCAACTACAATTGTGTTCCCAATAGGTATTTAATAGTAATGTTAACTAACCATTTTTAAACATTACATACAATCCGAGAGGCTTCCATGATCTTACAGTCAACTCTTTCTATAACGGAATTTTTGATATAACGAATCACGTGATGTAAAGCCAATAGATTCGTCAAAATACTCTCGATATAGTGAACCAACCAATTAAAGTCATCAGATTCTTCGTTATAAAATTATAACGAAGTTGAGATAAAATTTGGACCGATATAGCTTCGATTGAAAAATTTCTGTAGTATCGTAGAAAATTTACACGTGATTCTTCAGAACATTAAAAAATTAGTCTAGATTTTTTTGGAATTATCTGTTAGTTCACAATAACTTTGTTATTGCCATAGAATTATAGAAATGGTGACCGTCTATCCGGATAATTATCGGATATCCGTTATCCGTTGTCCGAGTGTCCGATCGAATTTATCCGGATATCCGTCTACTATTGATATCCAGATAATTCAGATCGGATAAAATAATAATGTATTCTTCCCACAATCCGAAGAAAAAATTTTTTACCCCTGAGAATCACCATTTTTAGATTAAGTTTGTGACGTTCACGCAAGAGCATTATACTCGAAAAGAATTATAGCTTAGGGTTAGACTATTTATGGTTATTTTATCCTTACCCAAAAAAATTTCTTGCTTATTTTTCCTTTGTAATAAGAGATTACTTCCTAGTGATTAATTATAACAAAATACTTCGTGATAATTATGTTCATAGATATTACATAATAAAAAATATCATTTATCTTAAAGACATGCTTTTATCATAATCATGCACTGGCCCATAATGCTAACGCCAGCAGTTAGAATACCAACATTTATATTTTTACATTTATAAATCCCATTAGTAACTTATCATTTTATCTCAATACAGGTTTGTAAATGTTTTATTTATTAATATTGTAAATGATAATTTATATAACTATGTGCATCAATATATAAATCATGGTATTTTTGAACTATAATATTATGTAATTTATATTCATTTACTTCATCATTTAAAAAAAATAATTCGACAGGTTGTATACCACCATTAGAATCCGATTCTAAAATAGCCAAATATTTAACCCTTTCCTTTTTCATAATATATTTCTTTATAAAAAATAAAATTTTTGTATCTACACTTCTCGGGGATGATGTATGCAGGAATACATTATTAATTAATAATTTTTTGATAAAAGTATTTTGTGAATTTTTTAAAAATATTTCTAGATCACTTGCAATAAAAGAAAGAGATAAACATAAATATCTAACCTAGAAGGAAGAACCTGTCCTAAATTTCGTAATAAAGTTGAACTTTCAGCAAAAAGAATATGATTTTCGATAAAATCCCCTTCAATAGTAAGATAATTAATATTATGTTGATTCTTTTCAATGAATAAGTAAATACTATTATTATCATAATAAGGTAAACACGAATAAAAATATCTAATATTTTTACAATATTTCATAATAAATTCAAATAATTTTTGTTTTTGTTCATTATATTCGACTCCTATATCTCCATTTTCAAATCCAAAATTTTCTAAACAATCACTAAATTTCTGTAATAATAATAGTAATGATTCAATATGATCATTAAGTATTATTTCTTTCGTAAACAAAGATCTTAATTTAAAAGGTTTAATGACCCTAATAATTTGTTGAACGAAATCTGAATTTAAAGAATCACAATAAAGAATGTGAATAGATTCTAAAACATTCAATTGATCAAAAACCTCTTGTAAAATACTATTTATATTTTTAAAATCAATGAAATAAAATATAATTGTATTTAAAGTATTTGAACAATTAGAATTTTTTAATGTTAAAAGTGGATTATATAAATTAACGAAAGATTCAAACGAAATTTTTTTGAGGTTATTTTGTGAAATAATTAATTGTGATAAATGATTTTCAATTAATGAATAATTATTGATATCAATTCTATAAGTAGGAAATTTAATAACAATTGATGAGATTGATTTGCAATTAGAATATAAAAATTCTAAAAATGCAATATTTTGATATAAATCATTATTATAAATATGGAATGTTAAATTTCTGATATCATATATAAGATTTGGATTTTGTAAAATCAAGTATATATTATCATTAAAATAATTATAACCATAAGACCTAGGATGTACAACTTCAAAAGAATGTAAATTCCCTTCATTTTCAATGAACACTTCAAATAATAAACTATAAACTAAATTTCCTAACCTATTATCGGATTTATCTACTAAAGTATCAACCCAATATTTAATATAATGACAAATTTTACTTATATCCAAGTATTTAATAAAACTAGGATAATTGAATAATGGATTTGTAAGAAATAAATTATCATTAATTCCATATTCATTAAATCTTGCTTTATCATCTTCATTTAAAAAGCAGAAATAAGTTTTAATACAACGATAATTTTGGGTAGGAAGTGAAAATGGATCTTCCCATAATAATGGAATGGTTAAACGACACCATAATCTATTAACTAAAATACATGAATATAATGTTGAAATATCTTTTCTGAGCATGCCATGGAGTTTGCTTTCATTTTCAAAATGTATCAATTTTCGGAGTTGTACAATTTATCTAGTATTACATAAAAAGACAACAAAAGAACAAACATAACATGTAAATCATTCCTTTTTATTAAATAATTGTTTAATTAAGCACATATAGACTAACTATATAAGATTAGCTCCTTTTGTCAATCGGGTGGGTGGGGTGTAATTCCGGCCTGCCGATCTTTTATTTGCTACAGCGTACCGCCGTACCGCGTACGACATCTCATAATGTATAAATAATTTGAATTGTGTAACATGAAAACCCGGGCCATGATATTAAAACCCTGTGACATACTTGCGCCTGATCTATTCCTTACCTGTTACTATTTATTATTACACTAAATCGTTACGTAATAATTTCTTTCATTAAAACATTTTTTTTATTAAACCATATATTTTTATTTAAACATATATTTGTGATCCATCAACATCCTAAAAAAAAAAAAATAATAATTATAATTCTACAGAATTTCTTCTCTTGGATATTTTTAGTAGAAATAATAAATTGAATGGTTTTCTTATAATCTTTCATGTTTATTATTCGCCACGTTGTTTATTCAATTGAAAATAACTAAATTGACTTTTTCATCAATCATGTATTCTTGTTTATATTGATTTTTTAAATAAGATTTAAAAATAACAACAAATTAATATAATATATTGAATAACAATCATTGATTTTGTTTATCAAATTAATCAATAACCAAGGATAATATCTATTTATTATAAAATAAATTTTTAATTTTAAATTATTATACTAAGTATAGAAAGTATAATAATAAATGGTTAGTAATATTCTTTCTTTTTTTGGTTATGGGCGTAAAATATTACGCCTCAAGGTCACAAAATTTATGTGGGACAACATGAAATTTTGATCAACAATTTGCATTTCACTAATTTATCAAGTAAATGAACTTAAAATAATTCATTCATTCTCTCTTTCTTGTTGATTACATTATGTCCACTCTTCGATATGAATTAATTGCTGCAACAATGAATAGTGCAGATACATTAACAGATACTAATATTTACAATAATATACACAAACAATTTGAATTTAAAAAACAAACAGTTTTTGCTGATAAAATTCTTACAAATGATGAAAAAACTTATGCAATAAGATGGATAACTAAAAGTTATGATCGAGATAAAGTTATGGATAATGATGGTACAAAAAGAATTTGTGAAAATTGTAAGCAAGAATGTTTAGCCACATTATATTGTGAATATTGTGTTCGAAATTATTTAAAAGAAGATTTTTCAAATTGGACATCTGGAAATGATGTTATTGATAATTTAATACAGAAATGTCAAATGGAATCACTCATGCCAAGCAAAGTAGTTGAATGGATCCCATATAGTTATTTAGAAAATATTAAATATTTAACAAAAGGCGGATTCTCAGAAATTTATACAGCAGATTGGATTAATGGATATTATGATGAATGGGATTCTGAAAAAAAACAATTGAAAAGAATAGAAAGACCTGGAATACATAATCTAGTGACAAAAGTAGTACTTAAAACGTTAGAAAATGTTGAAAGTGCAAATCAAAGTTGGTTTGAAGAGGTTTGTATAATTTTATTCTAAATTTTAAAATTTTATGTTTTTTCTACAATAACATGTTGTCATTTAGGCTAAATCACATTTAACCATAAGTAATAAATGGCCGGTTGTTGTTCGATGTTATGGTTTAACACAAAATCCATCAAATGGAAATTATATGCTTGTAATATATAAAATGGATATAGATTTAAGAAAATATTTACAACAAAATCATAATCAACTTACATGGAAAGATAGAATGAAAATTATTGATGAAATAACTGTTGCACTTTATTATATTCATAAAGAGAAAGCAATTCATAGAGATTTGCATTCTGGAAATATATTATATTCACAATTTAATAATTCTTGGTGTGTTAGTGATCTTGGATTTTGTGGACCTGCTGATAAATCTTCAACAAGTATATATGGAAATCTNTTACGATTATAACAAAATTTAATAAAAATAATTGCTTGATCGAAGAATTTAGATTCGAACTTACCGTAATGGACTTAAAACATAAAATAAATACTAATTACCTGTCTCTTATACACATCTAGATGTGTATAAGAGACAGTCCTTACATAGCACCCGAAGTTATTGTTGGAAGAGAATATACTTTTGCATCTGATATTTATAGTATTGCAATTCTTATGTGGGAAATTTCATCTGGACAAACACCATTTATAAATTATGAACATGAAAATGATATTGTAATGAATATTATTAACGGTATAAGGCCAAAAATTGTGCCAGGAACTCCATTAGAATATAAAAATTTAATGAAAGAATGTTGGGATGCTGATCCATTAAAAAGACCTAATATACTTACACTTTGGAACAAAATAAACAATATTAACTTACATTATCAAAATATGTCAGATGAATTATTTAAATCAGAAATGGATAATTTAGAAATGAATAAAGTAGAAGAAAATTATACGAGTAGCAGATTATTTACAAGTAAAATTCATAACTTTGGAAATCTACCTGAACCAAGAAATGCAACAGAAGGTATAAGTGTATAATATTTATTAATGAATATATTTCCCTATAAAAAAAGAAAATTCGGAATTTGTCCTGAAAAGTATGGAAAATTTCCGGACATTTTCCATACTTTTCAGGACAAATTCCGAATTTTCTTTTTTTATAGGGTTTATTTTAAAATACATTATTAATGTTATCTTTTTATTATAATAGAAGAACAAGAAGGTATAACCGTATAAATAATAATTTCTACCATTTTTGGTTACTATCATAATTTAATTTTAAATACTTTATTTACTGCTGATAGTGTTTCATAGTAAATTGTATGATTTTAACATTCCTAACGATAGTAAGTATTTAATAACATTATAGTGTTGAATTATCATATAATGATGTTTAATGATTAATTTTTTATTTTAGTTAACGACTTTAATAAATCAAATGAGCAGAATAGTAGCAAGTCATCAAAAGTAATAACTATTTTTAGAGGTAATATATTTTAATTATTTTCAAATCGAGATTAATTTATATATTAAATTTATATCTTAATTTTTAGATAGTAATAAAAAATTATCCAAATTATTTAAAAAGTTGCAAATAAAGTCAAATGGTAAGTAAATTACTAACAAATAAAGTTACTATATCAATTTCATTTATTAAACGCGACTTTTATTTAAAATTTAGATGACGAAAAAGAAAAAACTCAAAAATATGTCAATGGTAGGTGAAAATTTTACGTAATAACGAACGATTTTAATACTGTTTTAATTATATTTACTTATCTATTACAGATGATGACGAAGTATATAATAATCCAAACCTTCATTCAAAAGAGCAAGATGAACTGGAAATTCCTGATGGTAAGCTCTTAAAATAAAGTAGAAAAAATAAATTTCTTTTATAAAGCAAATAATTAATCTATTTTTTATCTTTTAGATGGATTTTAAATTGTCTTTTTTATAAATCAAATTAACAATATTTTTTTTTATATTTTAAATTATTATCACATAATTTATTTATCATGGATTATTTAAACACTAAGACTAGAGTAGTAAATGTTTTACAAAATTCTTAGTGTGTAATTTAAATAATTTTAATAAATTTATTCAAATTATTAAATGTATTGATTTAGGCGAAAATTAAGTATCTTAACGTAAATTTATGTTATAAACATTATAGAATCATGACAGATTATTCCCATTCGTTATACATGAATTTATTAAAACAAGTTGAAAGAATCAACCTCATGAAAGTATAACAAGATATTGTGCACACGTTCTATATTAAAAAATTTGTTTTTGATTTTTTACAATAACCTCTTGTTAATTCCATAAAATTTATTATGTGCATGATCAATATACTGTATATAATAAAATACATAATTCTCATAATAATTAATAAAAATTTTTGGGAATTGCTAACCGATCATCGCCTGGGTTTTTTTTTCAAATATGTCACATGATGTACAATATATAGTAAATCGGCTGATGGCTGATTTTTTTAACTTTTTTTTAAAATTTTGTTGCGAAGATATTTTTAAAAAAAATTTTTTACAAACATATTTATTCAAAATAATCTTATTTAATGAAATTTTATTTTTATTTGCAAATATTAAAATTTAAGTCACACATTTACGATTTTAAAGAAAAAAATCACCGTATTTATTTTTAATGAAGTAAAAAAAAACAATAACAATAAATAAAAAAGATAAGTAAATTACAATGATCAAGGAGAAAGATAGATGCTAATAAAAAAAATGAAACAACAATGGACGAAAAAGAGTAATGAAAAGTGATAGGAAACAAAAAGGAGAAATAGGACATGATGAGAGATGAAAAGGAGTGATGGGAGACGAAGAGGAGTGATGGGAGGTAAAAAGGAGTGATGGGAGACGATAAGAAGTGATGAGAGACAAAAGAAGTGATGGGAGACGAAGAGGAGTGATGGAAGGTAAAAGGGTGATGGGAGACGAAAAGAAGTGATAGGAGACGAAAATTAGTGATGGAAGACGAAAAGAAGTGATGGAAGACGATAAGGAGCGATGGAAGACGAAAAGAAGTGATGGGAAGATGAAGAGGAGTTGATGGGAGACGAAAAGGAGTGATGAGAGGCAAAAGGAAATTATGGGAAGTAAACAGGAGAGAAAGAGAGATAATAGAAAATGAAAAGTTGTAATTAATAAAAAATCATCATTTTCAACAGTTCAATCACCATCATCGCCTACTAGTACTCTCTTATATACGACACATCCTCAAGCAATTTATGCAAGTAAACTTTTAGATTTTAAAAATCTTCCCAAACCAAAAAATGCAGACAATGATGACTTAGAATATTCAGGTAATTTTAATTCAAAATAATTATTCAAATCTATTTATAATAATAATTATTCTTTATTTTACAGATTCCTTAAGAATGGATTTTACTAAACTTGATTAGTTCTAAAGGTAATTACTTTTGCATGTAACTTTTTATTAAATTTTAATTAAGCTATTTTTTTTTTATTATAGATTAAACACATTTTATTTTAAATGAAAATACTGTATTTAGTATATAAAAAACATAACAGGTATAATTTATTCTTATTTCATTGATAATTTTTAATTTTATTCTGGGATATTTAACGGTACTAAGGCTCATATTATACATGTTGCCGAAACTCGGCAATTTCAGGATTCGGCCTTCGGCTAATCATTCCAAAAACGAAACTCCAGCCGAAAGTTGAAAGTTGGAAATTTTCTGGCCGGCATTATGCATTTTGGCCAGCATTATAAATTTTGTGTAACATTAATGTAACACGAAATTTCATTGATTTTAAACAAATTAATATTAAATTTATGTAATAAAAAAAATAAATAATAAATTATCTAATTTTGATTAATAAGATATAATTTGCCATAGAAATGATGGACATTTAACAATACAAATTTATTGATCAATTATAATTACTACATAGAATAAGATAAAGAATTATAAATTAATTTAATTAAATTTACGATTATAAAAAAATAAATTTATACATATAAAAATGTATATTCCAACTTTTTTTAAAAAAAAATTCTTAATAAATAATAAAAAAAGAATGATAATAAAAAATACCTTGTACAATATTGATTTTTGTCAAATAAATTCAAAAGAGTTAGTCGAATTGGATTAACAAATTATATAGTTCAAAAAATGCATTTAAAACATCACTTCTTTTAACTCTTGAGATCATAACTTTTTGAATTACAGAAAGTCACAAAAAAAAATACACTGAAGGAAATAGGAAGCTTGCGCAATAAAAGTTGTTCTTTACCTATTTAAAAGTAATAAAGTGGGTGTTTGATAATTATTTGAAATCGTTCAGTGTAACGACTATAATGAATTTGCCTTCCTTCTTGTCTAGAACGCGTTTTATATATTTTATTCCTATTATTATCTGACGTATTAGAGTAAGTTTTTATTATATAAAATAATAATAATATTTTACATGTTTTTCAATAATAAAAACAAAGAATACAAATAAAAGTGGTATGATTTGTGAGTTTATTTTTTTTAATGAGATCTGTCTAATAATTACATATTATATATTATTTATATCGATTATTAAATATTTATTTGGTCAAACAACTATTGACAAAATCAAAGAAATTATATTTGTAATTAAGAATTCATAAATCTTAATCATTTTGTTGTATTTTTTTTTTATTAATATTTATTTATATTATGTTATAATTTATATATTATTATTACAAACAATCATAAATAGAACGAGTCATATAAAAATTTTTTTATGAATCAATCCACACTATGTCCTATTTAACGTAAAGATAGGTAAATTTTCTAAATATGTCACGTATATTATTCATTATCATTATGTAAAACTTGAGGTATTCATTTTACATCAAATCTAATCTTACTCATTATTACGACTTAGGTATATAATAGATGTAATGTTAAATAAATTCAAAATAGTAAAAATTACAATAAAGTTGTAATATTTGTAATTTTAGTTAGTATCATATTAAATCATATAGCATAATACCAAATAAATTGTTAGTAATTTTATGAAATATTATGACATTTAAATTTTATATTATGCGAAATTAATTTTCGAGATGCGATCTTTGAGAGTCATGTGATAAAACGAATCACGAGATGAGATAATTTTGGTATATTATGCAAATCAACTAATAAATGATACACTATACATAATTAGATATTATTTTCATGTTTAATATTTCTTATGTCAATAATGAGTCAGACTGATAATTTTTTTTACCTTAAGATGTCAGTCCAAGTCATAATGCTAAATAACATTATATATAAAACCCTCATGTTCTTGTTAACAACAGTTTAACAAGGTTCACCATTAACTTCAACAAATTTCAACAATTTACCATTAACAAGAGCAAGGTTCACCATGAACACTTCTAGCGCTTCCAAAAATCATCCTTCTGGTAGTAAATTCTGTAAATTCTGCATTTAACATGATACATAAATTTACTAATGATATAATCTTTTTTTTTTAGCTATTATTTTCTCTTATTTAGAGAGGTACTCAAAGCACTCATATCGAGGTTTTTTAAAGGTTTGTCATGACGAAGTTGTTGCCTCAACACCATTTTCGGATCATGACTGGCGAAATATTGATGATTTTTGGGCTAATCAATTCTTAGTTGTAGCAAAGTTGCAATTAGATAATGAAGAAATTTTTATCTCTTTATTAGAAAAGGTGCGTATTATTTATTTTGCAAAATAGGGTAACCCCTGGTTGGGGGTACTCCACTGTTGGGTACCTGCTAACCAGGGGAATTACTGGATTCGGATATTGCTTCTTAGTTCAGGTGTCCTATTTTGTTGTTAATAAGGGTCTACTAATTCTGGAGGAGGAACTGGTTATGTACCTTCCCTTGTTACTAAATAAAGACGCACTATTAACAGTAAATGTGTTATTTCAGGTGAAATCAGAACGTAAAGGCAAGGGTTTGTATACATACTGGCAGAGAGTAATTGAGGAATTTGGAAGAGTGAGTAATAAAAATTATTAGAACCTCTTGGCAATGTTTATATGATTCATTATATATAAATTCATTATATATAAATATAGAAACGAAAATAAACTGCGATTGAAGCAAAGGAAAACAGTCAACCACAAACAAAAAAGAAGCCTTTTGAAGTAATTTCTTTGCCATCAGTTGTTAATAATACTTTACCAAATCTGACTTATCTTAATTTGCGTAATAAGTCAAATTCATGCACTAAATCCACAGAACTACGGATTCCCGATGAAATTGTAAATTGGATAGAATTTGAACAAGAAGTGCTAGCATGGCAACCGAAGGTAGATAAGGAATACCAAAAACCAACATTTAGCCAGCGTCGTACAGTCACGTGTGAAAAAGATATATGTACAGCATCAGATATAAACATATATGAGACTTTAACTCCACTTGATCGATCAATCCTTTTCTTGGATAGTCGTGCTTTGGAAAGCATTGTCGGTCAACCAGATTTTATAATAGTTAATAGCAACATGGTACTACTCATGATTTGGGAATGCAAAACTAAGTGGGTTTTAAAAGTACTTCCCCATGAAGATATTATCGCATTATATGTACAGGAAAAAGAGACTAAAGAAGGACCATATGTTCGTTCTAATAATGATTCTTCAATATTTGGTTCCATAAATCAAGTTTACAGCTATATATGTGCTAATAGTTTAAAGTACTAAATACATTCCTTCTTTTGTTATGTCCAACTTTGATAGATTTTGATAGACTAATTGATTTTCTTCATACAAAAATAGGTATAGCGTTCTGTCAACATACGATCAAACTTGGTTTCTTAAAAGGGAAGCAGTGAAAGTAGAGGGGGAAGACCATACATCAACAAGTCCCACGTTGCTTAAATCTGTTGCATACATGATTGATCTCGCATCTAATGATCATTATGCACCTTTTCTTAAAAAACCTATGATGACTGCTGATACCAATGAAGACGATAAAGATGATGAATCTATTCCTGAGAAAAAAGATGACAGCGAATTTAAGTATAAGGGGTATTTGCTCCCGAAAGGTCCAAATGTTGTAACTCGAAGCCAAAGTCGCCAGGTGCTTGGATCTTTAGACACTAACGTGGACCTATGATATGGGAATTATTTTAATATGCATATTTAACATATTTTACATATTAACAAATTGTTGCTAGTCTCAGGACCGAATGATTGGATGAAAATGGGCCATTTTCACCAATCAATGAAGGTCCCTGTAACCGATGCCCACACCCAATAAATGTGTTATCTCGTTCTGACGTTTTTGATCATGTATTAATTAATAACATCATAAATTCACTTTATAAGCTTTATTTAAACTTTTCCTACAAAATATTCATTTACACCATGATGTCTTTTTTACTCCACTTTATTACATCAATCATGCACTATTGTTATGCCTAATAAAAATATCGGTCTATAAAAATCTGCATGATCCTATTGGGCTGAACGATAATATTTGAAAAGTTGAACTTATCAACGAAAAATAAATAGTCATTAATATTTGCTTTTCAGAGTACGAGTCTCTTTGATGTCAATGATGTCAATGAAAAATTCTGTAATACCTTTTTTAAATCTGTATCGGGGTATATTGGGAATCTATTATCCGGCGCCTCTGATATATTGTTCAAATATATCAATTATTTACTAGTTCCAATATCTTTTTTATTTTACTAAAATAAGTTTATATATATAATTATAAATGTAAAATTGTATTAGCAAAAATTATTATTATTATGAATATGTTATAAAATAATACATTATTTGAGATAAAAAATTTGCTAAGCAGATTTTCTTTTTTCCTAATAATCTTATTATTGAAAGAAAAAACAAAATGATATCAAAGAAATGATTATATAATTCATCAAAGTTACATTCATATTTATCTATTTTTAGCATAATATTTAATTAATAAGATTCGCTTGCTTTGTACTATTTTAATCATCATGGATTTTCTTTTGTGTGACCCAAAAAGAAATATTTCATATTCCGATTAGATTTTTATGGTTAACCATATTTATGATCTTTTCTAAAACAAAAATAGTGTTGTTAAAACATAATAAATAATGGAATAATTCCTCCGAATAATCCTGATTTATTTCTTTCTTCTATATCCGAAAATCATTATGACTTTGTTAGAATTCAACTTTATTAGATGATTTTGGCGTTAATTATAACGATACTTTTTTAATCCGATTTTTTTTGTTCCATTCTCCGAAAATAATGAATTATTAAATTACATATATACATAAAAAATTTTCTCAATATGGTTCTTCACAATTTCGAGGTTTATAAATTTTTTTTTTTCCTAAAATATAAAAATTATTTATTATTTTTTTTTTATTCTGAAAGTTAGATATCAAATACGAAATCATGTCTAAGAATATTACCCTTTCCTGTCTTATTCAAGGGACAAGCCTTGATAAGTATTTCAAGATTACTATCGATAAGAATAGTGACATTTCTGACCTTAAGGAAACCATTTGGAATAAAAACAAGAACACCTTTTCCAGTATTGATGCTAACAGCCTAATTCTATGGAAAGTAAGAATCCCCATCAGCGATAAGGAGAAGTTCAAACAACTTAACTTCAACGAGTCAACTATCGAGGGTGATTTAAGTGGTACTAAGATAGATGATGCAACGGATGAAGTTAAAGATGTCTTTTGCGATTCTCCCATAGGAAAACATATTCATATTATCATTGGACAATCTATCACTGAAAACTCTACAACTACCACACACGCATTGAATCAAGAGACGCAAAGTTTAGCTCAACAGACGGGAGCAATGTATTCGAAAGGTATGTGAAGAAAAATTCCTGCTGTAATCACAAATTTACGATAGTGACAATTTTTTATCATCAATATAATGACAACCTATTATATTTTAAAGAAGAATCGAACGAACGTAACGGTAGAAGCTTATTTTCAGGTAATTATTTATCTTTAAAGATTACTATTTAAACAGATTAAAAGTTTAGTTAATAAGAAGCTTAGTTATGCCCCTACGACTTTACCAAGCTCACAAATATTTTCATTAAATGAAAAAAAGTGATATTTATAGTGTTGCTATATTATTCTGAGAAATTTCTAATGACCATCCTCCTTCTTATACCGAACAATACGATTTCAATTTGGCTTGTTTATTTCAACAAGTTTTTATTTTTCTTAAAATCGAAATATATTTATACTGATTTAAATATACCATCTCACTCATTTCTCAAAGACAATCTTTTTTTTAACCGTGAAACATCTGACATTTCCAAAAATGACCAACCCGATAAGAAAAATTCTTGTGAATATATTACTAATACGAGATCCAGACAATCATCACTTAACAACTCATCACAATCTGATTTTAGACTAGGTATTTTTTTGATGAAACTTTTTTTTTTATATTAATAATTAAAAATTATTAACGCAAAGTCAATTTTCTAAAAAGGTTTAAATTATGATGAAACAAATCCATTCGGACTTTCGTTATTTGATCAAAATAGACAGAATAATGAAATTAATAATCGAGCTGGATTTAATCTATCCGGTCAATCGTCATGTACTTGCAAAATTCTTTTATTGGGTGGAACTGGAACCGGAAAGTCAACGATCATTAATATGATGGCAAATTATTTTCTGGGTGGTACTTTAGAAAATCCAAAAGTTGTTATTCCAACTAAATACTTTAAAGTTACTGAAAATGGTACTATTTTAAAATCGTTATAAAATTATTTTAAAATTCAGTTTATTGATGGTATTAATTTTCTTTATCATAATCTTATTTTAGCTTTTGGAAGAAATGATACTGAAGCGAAAGTTGGAGATGTAACCAGAAGCCAAACTACAAAATGCTGCAACTACGAATTTAAACACCCAGAAAATCCATCTTGTAATTTTGTCTTCATCGATACTCCAGGAATGAGCGATACGAATGGTATAGAGCAAGATGACAAGAATATTCAAGAGATTATTAATACAGCAATTGATGCCGGATCATTAACTGCCATCATTATTATTGCTAGTGGTACCGAAGCTAGAGTAACTCCAACAATAAAAAATACTTTAACTCGCCTAGCGAACAATCTTCCTGATGAAATTATCTCAAATAATCTCTTACTTATTTTAACGAAGTGTACAAAATCTAGTGCTAGTTTCTCTGAGGATGCTTTTGCAAAAGAAATCGTAAAACCAAAGGTTAGTATATCATTTCTTTTCTCTAATAAACAATTAAAAAAATTATGTTACATTTAATCGAATCTTATTCTCTATTTCTAGAAAATTTTTTATATGGACAACCAAATTTTCTGCGCCGATCCTCAAATTTGGCTAAATGATGATGATGAATATTCTACCGTTAAACACCAATGGGATAAATCTTTTAAAACATTCAGTAATCTCTTAAAAATAATCCCAGAAATGAATGATACTTCAACTAAAGCCTTTACAAAAATGAGAGAACTTCGTAATAAAATTAAATCGGAAATCGTTACAATTTCTCAAATCACCACAAATATTCAACAAGTACAAGACAAACTTGAAGCCGCCTATAAAGCTTTGCAGAAAACTGGCGATCAAAAAAATTCATTCGCTAACTATACAACAACTGAAGAAATAACAATTAAGAAACCAATTCAAAAAGATACTAAAGACACACTTTGTACCACTCATATGAGAGATGGAATAATTTGTCATGAAAATTGTCAACTTGAATTTAATTTTGAAAGTGGATCAAATAATTTTATTAGTTGTTCTTGTATGGGACAAGATGGTAAATGTAAAGTATGTGGATGTGGCCCTTCAAGGTACTAATAATAATTTTTAAATTTGTTTTCATATTTTATCAACATTGATATTAATACTAATTTCTCATTTGCTTATAAAGTCACTATCATGATAACACTGAAATGGTAACCGAAACTAAGACAATTGAAAAAGTTCTTGAAGATATAAAAGCGAAATATGACTTGGCCGATCAAAATCATAAAGTGATTAGTAATCATGCAACCCGATTCCAAGAATCATTCGCTAATCTCCAAGATCAAGCAAATGCTAATTATGATAAAATTCTCCAACTTTGCACCGATCTTAGTAAGATTTGTTCTCGATTCAACTTTGTTGATGAACTTCATGCGAATATTGAGAATATGCGGATGGATGCAAGAAACATACAGAGCATTGATATACGAACGAAGGCTGAATCAGATATTAGGAATCTTGAAACTTTTATTAACGGTTTATCAAATAGAATAGTTTAGATTTATATGCGTTAGTTAAAATTTCGATTAAATAGTTTAAAAGTTTTTTTTTAATTATTAAATAAAATCTTTTAGAAAAATCAAATGCTTTATACAATGAAGATTAGTTAAATAAAGTTGTCCATTTATTTTTTAACGTACTTTCAAAAAGATTATATCCAATTTTAATTCGTTTCAACTCATGTGAATCAGTCAGTAAATCTCAAAATCGTTATACAAATTGTAGAGCGAGATCACGGAACTTAATTAGAATGTAGCGTGATGCAGCCAAGATAATAATTTCCTATTACAAATCAAATGTTATCACATCAAGGGTTGGATTTGTTTGTTCGTAATGGCAGTTTTTTTTTTTACTTTATTGATAACACTAATGACAACAATTGATATATTATGCATCCTGTAATCATCATAAAAAAAATTAGAAAATTCAATCGGGCAAATTAGAAATATATAAAGACAAGTCTTTACTCGTGAATTTCATAAATGAATGGGATACAATATTGTTTTTTGCCCACGAAAATATTCTAAAAAAATTCCCAATAACGAGACTGTGACCCAAGGTCACGGTTGCCTTATAATTTCCGCAGCTATTAACAAAATACCGCAAATGATCATATTTTCACTTCGGCGATATACTGACAGTCACTGTATGAAAGATAAAGAAGAATAAAAACGACATTTATAAGAAAATTTCAACATCTGGAACAACCTGAGATGCTTTTAGCCGATTTCCAATTAACTTAATCGAGCGGGCTCCATTCATACCTTCTTTGTTTAAGAGACGATTCTAGTTGTAAATGTTGTTGCCCTATAAAAACGAAATGTGTTGAATTTGTTTTATATTTGTGCTCGCGTGTAATAAATATCTAAAAAAGCCCCATTTTATCCGATTTATGTCTTATTACAAAAAAACAAAAATTAAACAAAATGGTGCTTTTTTAGACATTATTACACATGAGCACGAATTTAAAATAAATTTAACACATTTCGTCTTTATAGGGTTGTAAGGTAAAAAATATTAACGTTATTAAGCGAACAAACATCTTTTAACAGATTTTCATATGGGCAAATTACCATTTTTTTATCGTCGTAAAATTGAAGCAAGTCCTCGTAAGTCAAACTCCAATTACCCTAGTGGACGATTAGATATTTCGGACATATAATATTTTTGTTGACGGCCTTATTTCGAACAGTAACTTACGAAAACAAGCATACATGTATCGAAAAGTTTTTCGTATTTATTTAGAAGTTTCTTATTAGAGTAATAATATTCCGGACAGAGTCAATCTTCGAGTATCTTCAACTAAAACACTTAGGGGTATGTTTTAGAAAAATTGGAATTCAGAAATGCTGATTCAACCATATTTAGTGAGTTATAGAAATAATTATGGTTAGATCATTTGTATGCTAATATATTCTGGATACGGATACACAATGCTCTATTTAAAGAACTATTGCTTGGACATCCATTTTTTACGATGACATTAGTCAGATCCCTGAGAGTCTTACCGCTCAATACTGTTTAACCCATCTTAAGTCGGTATGTTTCTGGGAAGATCTGGATTCTGATAAAGGAAGATTTATGTTTATGCTGTCAGCGAGGTATAATTTTGTTTCAATGTTCAAGGAGAAATCTCGTACAAGTTGGGTTTTGGCAAAGCCCAGGCAAAGCCTACAATTTATGAGCCAAAACACGTTACTCTATCGGTTTATAGAATTGTTACCAATCCATATCATAATCTGTAAATCACCATCGAGTTTGTATAAATACTTCAAAGATAGGTAAGTTACTTTATTATGTGCCATCATGAAACTTAAAAAATTTTTCAACGTTTGTTTCCTTTCACGATAGAATAATAAACCAAAAACAGATTATCAAACAAACAGAAATAGTAGTTGAACTGGATACTATAGATGGGCTGGAACGCTCAGACGAAAATCCACAGCAAGAAAATAGTAATTCTGGTAAGAACCTTACAATGTTATGAATTAGATTCTTATTAATTATTGCGATAAATTGTTTGGATTATAGCAATAATGACAGATCGTAGTCTAGCTATAATAGTATAATCTTCCAAAAAATAAGTTCTCTTGAGCAGACCGTTCAGGAAATTAAAAGTGAAGTAGCGAATAATTCAAAGGAATTGAAAGAAGTCAAAGGGGAGTTAAAAGAGGTCAAAGACAAAGTAGAGAATAATTCGAAAGAGATAAAGGGAAGTCGAAAGATATTAATGACAAAATAGACATATTTGAAATGATCGCTAGAAATGAGATTGCCAAAAAACACGGACAGCATTATTCGGATGGTTTCATAGTTTTTGATTTAAATGGTCTCGTGAAGTTATCTACATATCCTTTCCGTATACATATTTCTTATAGGGCACGATGGGATGAGAATTTTTATTTGACGATGGTTTCGATCATCACATCATCTAACATCGTTCGAGACATCCAAGTGACATATGATAATTATTCTAAATATAATTGAATTTTCAGGACCAGGAAAAATAAAATATTAATCGTGTTGTATATATATATGGCGAATGCAATTTATTATACACCTAATACAGTAATATAATGACATGTTTACCTATTCATTGAATAAATGTAAACAGAGAAATATTTTTGAGAATTAACGTAAAAAACAATCAAATTTTCGCTAACTCGAATCGTATTTATATATTATCATATTATCACCTCTCCACAAAAGCAAAGTTTTTAATAAGTATTTAATAATAATGTTCATAACCAATTTTGAAATCTACTGTCGATACTTCCAATTTTCAAACTTATCAATAGAAAATAAAGAATGGTTATTTCTACCAATGATATCATTGTTAAAATAAACCATTATTGATTATAACTTCATTATTGGAAAAAAATTTTTAACAATACTATGAAACACAATCACATAAAAGAACGATTTTCTCATCAAAAGTTACATTCATATTTATCCTATTTTTGTATATTTAAGGCCTCACATCTAATACAAAAAAAAACAAGTTGATCATCATCGAATTTCTTTTGTATGAAAAAAAAAAATTTCAAATTCCGATTAGAATTTTTATGGTTTAACCCTTACGATAATCATTAAACAAAAATAGTAAGTTGTAAAACATAATAAATAGTGGAATAATTGTCCGAATAACCCTACTTTGCTCTTTCTTCTATATCCGAAAATCATTATGACTTTGTTCGAATTTAACTTTATTGGATGTTTAGGCGTTAATTATAATAAAATAAAATAACTTTCCTAATCCAACTTTTTTTGTTTTTCTGTATTGATCAACAAAATCAATTCTCCGTAAAATCCGTAAAGCGGAAATAATGAAATATTAATTACATAAATACTTTGAAAATTTTCTCAACATGCTTCCTCATAATTTCGAGGTTTATAAATTTTTTTTTTTCCTAGAATAATATAAAAATTATTATTATTATTATTTTCTTTTATTCTGAAAGTTAGATAAATACGGAATCATGTCTAATATTACCCTCTCTTGTCTTATTCAAGGAACAAGCCTTGATAAGTATTTTAAGATTACTATCGACAAGAACAATGACATTTCTGATCTTAAGGATATCGTTTGGAATAAAAATAAGACCACCTTTTCCAACATTGATGCTAATAACCTAATTCTATGGAAAGTAAAAATTCCCATCAGCGACAAGGCGAAGTTCAAACAACTTGATTTCACCGAGTCAACTATTGAGGGCGATTTGGGTGGTACTAAGATAAATGATGCATCTGATGAAATTAAAGATGTCTTCGGTAATTCTCCCGTGAGAAAACATATTCATATTATCATTGGACAACCTACTATTGTACAACTCACAACTACCACACGCGCGTTGAATCAAGAGACGCAAAGCTTAGCTAACGAATATAATGGTAGAAGCTTATTTTCAGGTAATTATTTATTTACTTTAAACAGATTTAAAAGTTTAGTTAATAAGAAGTTTAGTCATGCCTCTATGACTTTACCAAATTTATTTATTTCGACAAGTTTCTTTTTTTCTTATCAAAAGACGAAATATATTGATACTGATTTTAATATCTTACTCATTTCTCAAAGATAATCTTTTTTCTAATCGTGAAACATCTGACATTTCCAAAAATGACCAACCCGATAAGAAAAATTCTCGTGAATATATTACTAATACGAGATCCAGACAATCATCACATAATAACTCCTTACGATCTGAATTTAGACAAGGTATTTTTTTTTTCCGGCGAAACTTTTTTTATATTAATAATAGAAAAATTATTGACGCAAAGTTAATTTTCTAAAAGGTTTAAATTATGATGAAACCAATATATTCGGACTTTCGTTATACAATCAAAATAAACAGAATAGTGGAATTAATAATCGAACTGGATTTAACCTATCCGGTCAATCGCCATGTACTTGTAAAATTCTTTTATTGGGCGGAACTGGAACCGGAAAGTCAACGATCATTAATATGATGGCAAATTATTTTCTGGATGGTACTTTAGAAAATCCAAAAGTCGTTATTCCAACTAAATATTTTGAAGTTACTGAAAATGGTACTGTTTTAAAGTCGTTATAAAATTATTTTAAAATTCAGTTTATTGAAGGTATTAATTTTCTTTATCAAATCTTATTTCAGCTTTTGGAAGAAATGATACTGAAGCGAAAGTTGGAGATGTAACTAGGAGTCAGACAACAAAATGTTGCAATTACGAATTTAAACATCCAGAAAATCCATCTTGTAATTTTGTCTTCATCGACACTCCAGGAATGAGTGATACGAATGGAATAGAGCAAGATGACAAGAATATTCAAGAGATTATTAATACAGCAATTGATGCCGGATCATTAACTGCCATCATTATTATTGCTAGTGGTACCGAAGCTAGAGTAACTCCAACAATAAAAAATACTTTAACTCGTCTGGCGAACAATCTTCCTGATGAAATTGTCTCAAATAATCTCCTACTTATTTTAACAAAGTGTACAAAATCTAGTGCTAGTTTCTCTGAGGATGTTTTTGCAAAAGAAATCGCGAAGCCAAAGGTTAGTATATCATTTCTTTTCTAATAAAAAAAAAATTATACTACATTTAATCAAATAATATTCTCGATTTCTAGAAAATTTTTTATATGGACAACCAAATTTTCTGCGCCGACCCTCAAATTTGGCTAAATGATGAAGATGAATATTCTACCGTTAAACATCAATGGGATAAATCTTTCAAAACATTCAGTAATCTCTTAAAAATCATCACAGAAATGAATGCTACCTCAACTGAAGCATTTACAACAATGAGGGAACTTCGTAATAAAATTAAATCGGAAATCGTTACAATTTCTCAAATCACCACAAATATTCAACAAGTACAAGACAAACTTGAAGCCGCCTATAAAGCTTTGCGGAAAACCGGAGATCAAAAAAATTCATTCGCTAACTATACAACAACTGAAGAAATAACAATTAAGAAACCAATTCAAAAAGATACTAAAGACACACTTTGTACCACTCATATGAGAGATGGAACGATTTGTCATGAAAATTGTCAACTTGAGGTTAATTTTGAAAGTGGATCAAGTCATTTTATTCGTTGTTCTTGTATGGGACAAGATGGTAAATGTAGAATATGTGGGTGTGAACCTTCAAGGTACTAATAATAATTTTTAAATTTGTTTTCATATTTTATCAACATTGATATTAATACTAATTTCTTATTTTTTTATAAAGTCACTATCATGATAACACTGAAATGGTAACCGAAACTAAGACAATTGAAAAAGTTCTTGAAGATATAAAAGCGCAATATGACATGGCCGATAAAACTCATAAAAAGATTAGTAATTATGCACACCAATTCCAAGAAACATTCGCTAATCTCCAAGATCAAGCAAATGCTAATTACGATAGAATTTTTCAACTTTGCACCGACCTTAGTAAAATTTGTTCTCGATTCAACTTTGTTAATGAACTTCATGCAAATATTGAGAATATGCGGATGGATGCTAGAAACATACAGAGCATCGATTTACGAAAGAATGCTGAATCAGATATTAGGAAACTTGAAACTTTTATTAACGGTTTATCAAATAGAATAAATAAATAGAATAGTTTAGCTTCATAAGCGTTAGTTAGAACTTCAGCAAAATATTTAATTTAATTTAAAAACTTTTTAAATCCTTTAGAAAAATCAAATGCATTATATAATAAAGATTAAACAAAGTTGTAACATGCTTTCAAAAAATTAAACCAAATTTTAATTCGTGGGGATATTTTTCGTTAATCAATAAATCTCAAAATTGTTATATACAAAATGTAAAAGCGAGATTACAGAACTTAATTAGATGCAGCACAAATAATATATAATGATTTTAAAGGTAATAATTTCCTATTACAAATCAAATGTTATCACATCAAGGGTTGATATCTTTGAGTTTGTTCGTGATGACACTTCTTTTTTTTTTGCTCCATTGACCATTGACAACACTAAGGACACCAATATATCTATCCTGCAATAATCAGAAAAAAACAATTAGAAAATTCAACCAGCAAACTAACAATACATAAAACCAAACCTTTAATCGTGAATTTCATGATAATAATTGCCAAGATTATAATAATATTATTAATTTACAATATTACTACCGATCCCAAGAAACGAGAGAGTGGTGAAATAATATTAATTCGGAATATGATCATGTATATGACATTTTTCGGGTTAGAGAACGTTTCGGGTGTTTAACTTTCGGCTCGTGTATTACACTATTACCATTAATTATCATAAAAATATCCACATATTGATATTTCATCCTGAACAGCACCGAGAAAATCTGTGCGAGCAAGACTGAAATCGGATCTCTCTAACCAAAGATGTCATCAAAGATCAAATTGTAAAAAAATGTGGAGTTTTAGAAACGCGCTTAAAAAAAAATTAAGAATAAATAATCGATAGGTTAATTTTGGACATCTAAGATTGTGAAAAACAAAAAAAAAAAAAAAAAAAAAAAAANATCATTTGTTATTTTGGATATGAGATCAGAATTTTTCTATTTAAATTAAAACTTGTAATGTCCAATGGATTTTTAGAATACTATTTTAAAAATTAAAAAAAAAAAAATGAAAATTTATAACAAAAAATCAAAATTATTTATTCATAATAATTAATGTTAATCATTACAAATAAAAGTTTTCTTTTGGGGACTTAGCAGTTATCGTTATTATCATAAAAAAGTAATCGAAATTAGAAAAATCAACGTTACGAAAAGAAAAGAGAAGTAGAAGAGTTATTACCGAATGAGAACGTGGTGGTCGATTTGGTGAATAAATCATAGGTCAGATTTTCTAGACGAACAAATATCAAAGCATTCGCCAGAAAAAAAAAACGGATAAGAATACTTATCCTGAGGAAGTAAGTGGAGATGATAGTAGATTTTCGGACCGAGAAAATAAAAGGTGTAAGCAGAACACATTGGAGGAATTCGTACAGATAGCGGATCAGTCTACAGTGGAAGAATTAAAGTCATTTCAGAAGTTAACGGTAAGATTAATTAATGAATTGTTAGGGACATCGTTTTCACCAAAAGGTAGTCGAGGATGTCTACTTTAGTTAATATGAATTTTGGTATAGTTAAAACCATTTTTTATTTTTTATTTTTATTTATCAGTAATAGTTAGTACTTAGTATACATAAAATTTTATAAACAAAACAAAATTGAAAAAGTAAATAAAAAATTAAACTAAACTAAAAGAAAAGATACTACTTCGTACGGTGAGGTAATTATAAACGAAACTATTTAAAATCTAACCAACTAAACTTTAAAACCGTTTCTATAATTAACCCACTACTAGTAAAACCTTGGTAAGTTGAAGCCCGCCCTGCAGAATAAAGTACCTTAACCCTATAATTATATGACAAAAACTATTAATCTATGAAAGTACCGGAAATTTTATTCGCATATCGAACTAAGAAGAATGATTCAACAAAATTGGAACCAGGATATTTAATATATGGAAGACAAATGAAGACATTATTGAACGTTATTTTGCTGGTTTTTTAAAATTATTAGAGTTAGGTTTAGGGCAATGGGATTAGGGTTAGGACGATTTTTGAAACTCGCTCGTTAAAAAGAAGAGACGTTTACAGCATGAACAAATGATGAAAAAAAATCGAGAATGTAAAAAAGATTCAGAATACGCAGATAATTTAGTGCAATGATCATTAGGTAAAATTGCACACTTATTATCCAAGCATTATTTGTTGCATTGTTCTTTTTTTATAGAACGATGCGATGTAATTTATATTTAAAAAGTTGACTAATCGAGCATATGCGTATTATTCGGCTTGTTAAATGTATAATATTTTGGTTTCGGTAAGTTGTGTTATAACTACAAGACAAAAACGTAAGATAGTTTTGTATAATATTATCTAGTAAGGAAATTTCTATTTATTTTATGTTATAGATAGAGCATTATAAAATATTACATCTGTAAGGTATAATTATCGAAATGTATTTCGACCTAGTTTCAATAAATGGATAACGGGAAAAAAAACCAAAATTTTATAAATTGACTGGTTCAAATTTTCGATTTCAATTTGATTTCTAATACATCGTGAGTAGGGATTTTCATGTTTGCAACCATTTCTTCGATCAACTTCGACAAAACAAAAATAAACTTCATTTTTTGTAATGAGTTTTGCAACATTTTTTTTTTTATATAAAATTCAACACATATTAAATAAATTATCAAACATTTGCCAAATCAGAACTTCGTTATTAATCTATGATATCGTATGAGTAGAATTTTGACAAACCATTTAACAATCGTGTAGAATTACAATTAGTTTCGATCACGAAATTTTTATCGTTACGTCACTCTTCGAATTCCCATGTTAATCAAACATCCAATTATCCCACATATAATTGAATTTTAATTTTTTAGGAAAAAAGAATGCCAAAAAGAATTCCTGAATAACGTATATTAGCGAATGCAATTTATTATTCACCTCAAAAGTTAACAGTTTAATTTTTAATATCCATCGCTCATTAAATAAATTAATGAATGTCATCAGTTTTATTTTAGAGGAAGAAGTATGATAAAATAAATATAATAAAAAATAAAATACATTGTTATTATGGACACGGAAGCGGAAAAAAACTTCGAGTATGTGAGGGAATTAAGGGGTTAATGTAAGAGCTTCTTTCTGAGTTATATAGAATTGACAAATCTAGTAAATAAACGCTTAATTCATTCGTTAGGATGATGCTATACAGTCAAAGCTCGTTATAGTGGATCTCGTTATAGTGAACATTAAGTAAAATCGCGTTATAGTGACCTATTGATTTTTTTCCTTATAATTAATTTCTCTCGATATAGTGAATTTTCTTAATAAATCTCGTTATAGTGAAAAAAAGGGAAAAAATTACATAGTGGAACGGAAAGTTCACTATAACGAGCTTTGACTGTATTAGGCGATTCAGCCCTATTTACTAGGTTACAAGTAGAGGTCTGCAAACGGGACCCGGGTCCGGGTTTGGGCTGTCAAACTTTCTTCAAAATTCACCCGGGTTAGGTCCGGGCCGGCACATTATTTTCGTTACAGTAAACCCGGATTTTCGTAATTCCGGCCAAAATCGTCTTAATTCTGGCCGAACTTAAACTGGCCAGAATTAAGTTGGCCGATTTTTTGTTTTTATAAAAAAATGATATAATAATCATAATCTGGGTCCGGTCCGGGTTGTAAAATAGGGGTCAATGTAGACCTCTAGTTACAAGTAAAATTTTTTTAGAAGGTATCACCAGGATGCTTTGTCAAATCTAGATAGGGCACCTTTCAATTCCCGCACTATTTGAGGTCCAATACTCTCACTACAATTCCATAAAAATCACATTTAAAAAATATTATAATTTCGTATTTGATTTAATCATAATACTTACTCTGTATAGTAAATAATAATGAACGAGTATTCGCGTTATATATGGGGTCATACAAACTTAATTTTTTTGGATTTCATAACATAAAAAATGACCTGATAACCTGGCTTTTAATTTTTTTTTTCAAAAATTTCATATGCATGAAAATTTTTTTAATATAATAGATAAAAAATTTTTCAAGATTTAGCAAAAACTGACCCACCCGAGATATGATTATTACTTTGCGTCGCCTAATCTATTATTCCGATGCATATGTCACTAATGTCAGTCAGCTTTCGAAAACGGGAGGAACGTTCACAGCAGGCCGTTCAGCGTACGCCAGGTCTTGGTAACCTTCGCAAGCTGCTGTCACGAAGTGCTTTGATTTACGCCTAGTGGCAGCGTATCTTCGGATCAAAACAACTCTACAAATTATTCCATTGAAAAACTCACCTTGTTCGATGTACTTCAATATTCAACGTCTTTAAATTTTATTTTATGTTATTTTCTTGAATTCGTCTCATTTTGATAGATCAGTAAAAATTTCAACGTAGAGGGGTATGCTGCGTGCGTAGTGGCCAGTCGCACATAATCACTGAGGTTCCAGAAACCCGGTACGTATAAAAGTGGGTTTCAAAACAAGTTTTCCTTTTCGCTGACATGTAGTAATATGACCCGTAACTAGCATCATCTCAAAAAAATAAAGAGGTATTGCTAAAGAAAACTAAATTTAGTAAAAATATGTGAAGTGATAACGAAAGTGTTTTATTAAAAAATTTCGGTTCGGTTCATACTACATTTAGATTTTCCGTGATAATTTCAGTGTTATTCACGAATCAAATTTAGCGGTAAACAAATTTTTATTGAATTGGCCTAGAAAAAATAAATATGGAAAGTTGGCACCATTTAAAAACTCCAACTCTATTTGTACTTATTGTGAATCCAATTGAATTTATATATTATCACATTTATGGAAATAATTAAAAAGGAGTAAATCCTCAAAATGATCGTCTACAAAGGTTTATTACAATAGCTTTACCTTTTAAGATCATTGAATACAAAGACTTCGTTATTATTATGATTATAAATCATGTGAATAATAGGATTTAAATAAATCGACATGCATCTCAATGAACATTGCTATTTCTTCAATAACTTACCATTTTTTTACAAGTGTGTTTCCCACGATAGGTATGACAATTACGACGTTACGTATTACAGAAAAATAATTGTTACTCTATCATATGATCTTTTGTCATTTAACGTATTCGTTATCGTTATCTGATATATTATATCAGGAAATCGGAGAAAGAACAATAATTTAATGAAAATTTTTTTTCACTTTTTATTACTATAAAAATTGCAATTTAGGTCTTTCATTTTTTTTTCAATTTTCCTTTCAATTATTATGAAAATAAAAATTTAAAAGATAACACGTTTTGGTTGTTTCCGAATTCCGACAAATAACTTGAAAATAAAAAAATTGATATAAATTTACCCCCTAATTTTAAGCGTAATTTTTTTTTTTTTAAAAAAAAAAATTTCCCACCCTTTTTTACGTTATCGTTTAAATATCGAGTAAAATCACCTTCGTGTACTGTTCTTCATAAGTCAATTTCGTTTTACAACATGGCATGTTTGAAAATATTTTCTGGCGTCTTTCCTGAAATTATGGAAGAAATCATACGATATCTTCGTAATGATTTTTCAACTTTACATTCATGTATATTAGTTAATAGACTCTGGTGTCGTTTAACAATTCCATTATTATGGGAGGACCCATTTTCAATTGCTACTAGAAATTTCCATTTTATTGAAATTTATTTACATGAATTAAATAATGATGATAAAACAAAATTAATAAATTATAGAATGAAAAATGATATAATTCCTTTAAATACATTATTTAATTATTCTAGTTTCATTAAAAAGTTAAACACAAAACATATTATTTATATCATAGAAATTTGGATTAAAGAAGCTAGAAGTTTAACAAATAAAGATCGTGCAGGTTATAAATATAAGGAATGTACGAGATTAGTTTATGAATTCTTATTTAAAATATTTACAAATAATGCAAATTTAAATACTTTTGAAATTGTTTTAATGGGATATCGATGGGATTTATCTTTTTTTTTTGAAGATATATTTAATACTTCATTAAGTAATCCAAATTTCATACGTAATATTAAAAATTTAACGCTCTATGTATCATATAAAAATGCTGTTACAACAATAGAATATTTAAGAATTGAACAATTTTTATCATTAATTTCTTCTAAATGTAATTTAATTACATCACTTGATCTTCGACTTGATTATAATGAAAATATTATTAATAATGATAATAATATATTCAAAAAATTTACTTCTGATATAATTAAATCACAAAATGGTATTAAAAAGATATTATTTAATGGTGATTCATTTGATATTTTAGATAAATTATATTTATTAAAAAATTTAAATAATCCTAATTTATTAAAAACAATTATATTTAATGAGATTAATTTTACAAATATTAATATTAATATAATTGAAATATTAGAAAAATTAAATGGTTTAGAATCTTTTCATATTCTTAATTGTAAATTAAATTTTGATAATATTCAACAATTAATTAATATTACTAAACCATTTAAATTAAGATCTTTATTTATAAATATGATTGTTGTTAACATTGAACAATTTCAATTATTATTAGAAGTATATGGTAAATATTTAGAAAATATTAAATTTGGAAAATTATCAGATAATGAATCAAAAGAAAAATTAATCAATTTAATGATAAAATATTGTCCAAAAATACGTTATTTTGAATTACATAAATCTGTCGATGATCGAAATATTCATTCAACATTTAATTTGATTAAGAATATTGGATATAATCTTAATTATCTTGATATTAATTTCCCTCAAAATTTTAATCTTTGTTCAATTATTTTACAAGAATTAGGACAAATACTTCCTAAAAAATTAAAATATTTAAATTTAAATATTATAATTAATCTTAATGATTTTAAAATATTTTTAAATAATTCTAAAAATACTTTTATAGAAAAATTATTAATTCTTAATAATAATTCGAATGATGAAAATGATGAAAGGATTTTAATTTATTTAAAAGAACATAATATGAAAATTAAGAGATTAAATTATTTAGCTTACGTTAAAGGAAATGGTGTAAATTTATCTTGTATGAAGAATGAAGCAAAAGAATTTAGATCTTATGGTATTCAGATTTTAAATTATAATGATTCATCTATACAATTTGTAGATTTTGTAAAAGAAATGTATTAGTTTTTTTTTTTAATTTTAAATGTCGTCATTATTTAATAAAATTATCTTTTAATCACGCGAGACGTACTTTTGTAAATTTTAACGGAAATATGACGTCATCACATCCATCAAGGAATCTGTGTATCGGATTATCCGATATCACAATCAAAATAAGATTATTATTATTATTGTCCGAGTCCAGAACTACAAAAACAAGTAGTATGCATTTATAAATGGGGCGAATGGGGCGTAAGTGAAAATGATCGACGTTACCTGACGTCATTTGATCAGTTGCTAAAGACTGACACTAACGCTGTGTTCTAACGAGTAACAATGCGCACCAAAACTTCGGTATTCGTTCCATTAATTTTCGTATATATTATAACAAGATCAACAACTGTTAAATTCCACGCCTTTGATATTTAATCGTGTCAATCATTATCCCCGAACCATCCTCGTATCTAACACGTTTTTTTACCCATAATTTCTGATAAAATATTTCTATCACGATATTTTATTAAATTGCAAGGTTATTTACTAATTACTATCGAAAAATATTCAATACAATTAATCAAAATATTATTTATTTTAAATATTGACTTTATTTATAAGTAAATAAAAAATACAGTAAATACAAAATAAACCCTAGATAAAAAGCTATAAAAACCCTTAGTTTACTAAAATATTAATACTAATCCACTACTACTAGAACCCATTATTTCAACAACCTGATTCACTAAATTCTATTATTTCAACTCCTTTAGCTTTAATCCTATTCAATAATTTTAATTCCTCATCATTCAATTCTTTATTCAATTTCACCATACCAAGAACTTTTAAATTATTGTTACTTCTTTCAATATAATTTAAAACAATTTTAAGAAATTCTATTTCAATAATTTGATTTAAATTAAGTATTTCAAAATTATTATGACAATTTTCTAAAAATTCCTTAAATTTTAAAAAATTATTAAAATTATGAGAATAAACATAAATAGAAATTTCACTAATATTAATAGGTATATTATTTGCTAAATTTATAAAGAGTTTATCAATATTATAAAAAATACTAATACTTAACATTCTTGTTCTTAAATTTTTAAAAAGTTGTATCACTGATAATTCTATATTTAAAGAAATCGTTATTTTTAAAAAATTAAGATTTGGACAATAAATTGATATATTTTCAATAAGTGAACTTGTTGGGGTTTCAATTACTAATAATAATCTTTGTAATGATGCTCCAAAATATTTGATCATTAAAGTTATAACTTCAATATCCCATTTATTTTGTTTAAAAATTAATTCCTTGAGATTAAATAAAGCTAAATCTAAACCCTCCAATTGTTTTAATAATATACCTCTACATTGTTCAAATTTTAAATATTTTAAATTATATAAATTATTAAAACTTTTTAATTCAATATTACTAAAATCCGCGTCTATAAATTCAATATGAACTAAAGAATTCTTTTGAAATTCTAAAGATAAAAGAATATTATTTAATAAAAAATTACAATTCCATAATTCAAATATTTTAAGTTTGTTATGCATTTGAATAATTGTACAAAGCTTTTCTAAAGTATTAGTAGTAGTATTGATCAAATCATCGAAAGTATCATGTTGAAATAATGATCTATGAATTTTAGGTAATTTAATTGTTAATTTACTAGAATTTAAATAATTATTTGATATATTCCTTAAAAATTCTTGTTCAATTTCTCCTTTTAAATGAAATTCTAATGATAAAGAATTTAATCTTGTTAAATTTAAAGGGAAATTTTGAAAATTATAATTTTTAAAATTTTCTTTATAAAATAAATTGAACGAAATATATAATTGTTTAATGTTTCTACTTTGTCTTAAAATTGATCGAAGAAATATTGGAATAATATCATCATATATTTTTTGAAAAATTGTTAAATCTGAACAATATTTAACAAACCATCTATAAATAATAGAATTTATTATATTACTATTATAATTTTCTAAATATTTTGGATATTCGAATAATGGTTTGTATTCTTTATTAAAATTAATATAATTAATCTGTTTTAATCCTAATTGTTTCTTCAATTGTAAAATTTCTGCTTTATTAAAGCAAAGAATTAATGTTAAAGTGATTAGACAACTTTTTTCCGTTACTTTTACAAAAGGATTTGCGTAAAGCAATGGTATGGTTGATTTACACCAAAATCGATTGACTAATAAACATTTAAATAAAGTTGAACGATCATCTTGAAGGTATTGTAAAATGGAATGAATACTATCATCTGTTAAATAAATCATAATTTTTATCTTTAAAAAAAAAAAATTTAGGAAGGAAAAAAAAAATATAAAGTTATTATCGGAGTATTCGGAACAAATTAATTATTATATCCCAATTATAGAAGTCACATGGTTGTACATTATTTTGTAATACCGTAACACATTGTAGGTATTTCCATGAAACTTAAAATTAGAATTAGTAAATTATTTTTGTAATTTGTTCGATAATAATAAAAATTCATTTACAATTATTCCTGGTTTACTTGTTGGTTTCAGGAATAATTAGAAAGCAATTTAGAGTTATCGAATAGAAGGTTGAAATAACATGAATAAAATCCTTCATTGGTTCAATTCCACGTGATGATCAACATTGATTTAGCCATTAAATTAGTCGATCATTCTATATAAGGATTATAATTAATTTCCATAATTAGAAGCGATTTTATTAATCGATTAATCGTTTCTTCTAAAATTAGATTTTCGAAGTGCATCATTGCAGAATTGCAGGAAAATTTTCAATGATCACATATTTAACATATAAATCCAGCCAGAATTTAAGATTTTTGCGTAACACTATTCAAAATTTCGCTTAACTGATAACGCTAATATCCGTAACAAAATTTTGTGTGACAGTTCTTAAGCGCGGAAATCCGCGGATCGGATTTCTGCGGATCATCCGTTGGATATCCGGATCAAACATAGTATGATCATCCGCGGATACTGATTGACGGATGGAAATTATCCGCGAATTGTAACACTACCTTTTACCTGGTGGCTAAACTGTTTATACGATATCATGTGATTTCTAATTTCGTAATTCGGGCCGGCACTATAGTTTCGATTTTTATTCGATAATCGAGTTTAATCGGATTTTCGATTAATTCGATTTAGCCAATCCCTATATATACTGTATACTATTAAAATCTATTACATCATATAAATGCCACTGAATGATTAACGTGCAATAAAACTATATTTTCTGAATCTTTAGCTTCTTGTGCATCAATTTCAAGTGCCTCGTCCAGTTGACTACAATAAATGGATGAGAAAGAATTTTACTAGTAAAATAATAGACATACAGTATTGTTTATAGTAAGTTTACTGTCTTAAATTTAAAAAGTAAACACTAAAAGCACAAGTTTTCATTATTTAATTAAAAAACTGTTGATTATTAATTTTTATTTATTTTATTATAGGTTTTATGAGTTGAACTGTATATTTTATATTATTTATTTTATTTTATGAATTGAACTATATATTTTATAATAATGAGGTCATGTCACTCATGTGTCTTTAAAATTATTTTGATATAATTATATCATAATAATTTTAGTTATTAGAGTCTCGTTTGCTATTTTAAAAATCAAAATTTATATCAAATTGAATCACAGGAAACAGGTATTAATTTTTGAATTGTTAATTAGTAATTATAATTTTTTATTTTATGAACTCTTTCCGGTCGATCTCTTAACCAATTTTTTTACGAAAGAAAAATTATAATTTTATTTTTTTTGAATATTATAGACACATACAACATGGATAAAATAGTTGAAAATAATGACAAAGAGGTCCCGACGTGGGTTACTCGATCGAAAACGAATAGTTTAGGCCAGTTTTTCAAGAACTTCGAGGATATTTACGACACTTATTTAGTAGAAGTAATAAAGTGCAAAAAACACGATGAATATGTCGAGTTAGAAGACAAACTAATAGGACCTTCTAACATAATAAAACCAGGAAAAATACCAGTACGCCTTAACAAGCCGGATACGCAAGTGCCAACGGTAGTTTATTTCCTAACGGTTTTCTTAATGAAATGGACAGGACTAGCTACGATGAAAATAATAGAAGAATTTATAGAGTGTCACGTGAAAGCTGAAATGGAAACTGAACGAATGGAATATGAAAAAAAAACGACTGCGGCTGAACTTGATGAACTCAAATGTGAATACGACGCACTTTCAACAGCTTTTGACGAGCTCAAGAAAAATTCAGCAGATAGTAGTCTAACAAATGGATTGGCGATCAACGATTTAGAAGGAAGGATTAGAAAATCAGAAGATGACGTTATGATAAAAGAAAATAAAATTAGAAATTTGGAAGCCGATGTTACAGCAAAGGAACAAATCATATTGGAAAAAAGCGAACAAATTAATATGCTTTGGGAAAAGATAAGGGGATTGGATACTAATATGGAAAAAACAACGTGTCATAATGCGGATATGGATTTAGATAAGAAACAGACAAAGAAAAAACGCCCAACAAAAAGAGAAAAAGGGCGCGAACACAACATACTCCAAATGGAATGATCGGTGAAATCAAAAGGGGACCGATCGACGATAACAGAAAAGGAGATCTGGAAAAATATTATGCCGAACAATCACGTGATTTAACTTTCTACGACATACCAGCATACTGGAGTGATGAAGAGATTTTTAATTCACTTGACGCAAATGTAGGACAGATTGAATATATGAGAACAAAACGGTGTCACAAATATAAGACGGTTAAAACAACACTACGCCTTACCAAAAAATATGAAGAAATATACAAAAAGGGCGGGGTGAATGTTATTTTAACTAGGAAAAACCGTACACATTATGTTAGAATGCTTGACTCAAGATGGTCGTATGCTGAGATTAAGAAAAAATTTCGTTGGCAAGTTTGTAAACGAATAGAGGACGATAATCAAGAGGATGATTGTTCGATTATTAGATATTTTGCAAAAACTTATAGGGCTACATTTGGAAAAATTATTAGAGTTAACGGTATACGTTACATCATTTTATATTTTAGTACAGAGGATATTTTAATGAAAGCGGTATCGGACTCGTTACAAACATATGAAGTAGGGCTAGAATTATTAATCAAAAAAGAAAATGATTTTATAGACGATACAGGTGAGCTAAACGAGATCAATAAAACACTGAAATGGAGAAATACAACAACCTCAAGAGCACGTGGTCTACGCACGGAGCAAGAACAATATAAAGGAACACCTGAAAATTTTGCTTCGTCAAGTAGAAGACAATAACAATGGAGGTAACTAGAATTAGATAAAATAGTAAAACTAGAAAAAACAACATATAATAGTTAGACGTATTTAGATTAAATAATTTAGTATAGTTTAGAATAGATTAAAAAGAGAACAAATTTTTTAGTAAATACTTAGTCAATATTGGAATTTCGTGAATAGCACGCTGGTTACGTTAGTTTACACTTTAGAAAGAATTCTAAAGTTTTTATATGGAGAGGTGTAGTTAGAAATAACTAGCTTCAATGTATTTTTTTGTATTTACTAGTTAATGTAATGCGTTATAATTTACTAATAAAATGAATAAAATACGTTTATAAAAATAAAAAAAAAAAAATAAATAGGTAACAAGAGAGAGATCGGCACTCATCTCTTCAGGGACAGAATTACGTATTACCTACTGCCTGGCATTATTCAAAAAAAGAAAGGATCTACACATTATTCAGATTTTCATGGAATAAAATATTATTGCTCGGCCCAATAACACTATTTTATTCTTTTATTAGGTAACTGATTTCTTTTTATTGATTTCATTGATTAGAATGGAAGCCCAATAACAAGTATGGTATATTATTTTCATTATTTTATTTCTTTATTTAGAATTCTAGTTCCATTTTAATCCTCATAAATTTAATTGATTATAAATACGCTTACAGTAATAACGTAAATAAATTTCTATCGCAAATATACGAAAAACAATAACAATAAAAATAAATCTAAAATCTTCAAAGATAAGATGAATAAAGAAAATGAAACTCGAGTTTCAACAGAATCTAAAGAATTAAATATTTCCGATAAAAATTCTAACATCAACCTTGAAAATTGTTGTTATTATTGTAATAAACCATTTATCAAAGAATTATGGTGTGAAGAATGTGACCCATTTAGAATGGTTGAAGGTTGGACCAGTGGAAATAATGATATTGATAGATTTTATCAAAGATACAATTTATTACGTAAAAAATGATGAGAGATTTCTTAAATGGATAACATTTGATAAATTTGAAGATATAAAGCAAGTTGGTGAAGGCGCATTTTCCAAAGTATATTCTGCAATATGGAATAATGGCAAAACAAAATATTCTAAACAAGATGATGGAAGTTGGAAAAAAGAAGAATCAAATCCTATAAAGGTTGCTTTGAAAAAGTTAAATGGATCACAAAATATGTTAGATGAACATTTAAATGAGGTACGTTTTGTTATTAGGATATCTAATTTTTTTTGTTAATAAGTCTGCCCTTAATATAGCGAACTCCGACACGTGAAATTAAGTCAAATTTGTAAGAAAATTCTTTCGTTATTTCTCCTAATTCTATTACAACGAACTTGAGGATAATCGCTATATCGAAGACAAACTGTGACAATGATTAATGATAATTTAAAAATTTTCTATTAACGTTAATGATTTTCGGTACCTTAAATTTATAGCTTAAAGTACATTGTAATTCAAGTAGAACCTCATTAACTTTTCATGGAATGACTAAAGATCCAGATCCAAAAGAATTTATGATGGTTTTAAAATTTGCAAATCAAGGAAATTTGAGAAGTTTTCTCTCAAATAATTTTAACAGCATTTTATGGAAAGATAAAATTAATTATTTGTATTGTTTAATATATGATCTTGAAAATTTACATAATATTGGATATTATCATAAAAATTTACATAGTGGAAATATATTACAAATAGATAATATACCTTATATTTCAGATTTTAGAATATCTGAACCATCATTTAAACAAAAATCTGATGATAAAATATGTGGAGTATTACCATATATTGCCCCGGAAGTTTTGAATGGAGAATCATATACATTATTATCTGATATTTATAGTTTTGGTGTAATTATGGCTGAATTATCAACTGGAAAACCACCTTTTTATAATAGAATTAGAAATATATAATGGGCTTAGACCAGAATTTGGAAAAGGAACTCCTGAAATTTATAAGGAACTAGCTTACAAATGTATGAATGCTGATTTAAATCAAAGACCAACAGCCAATGAATTGCGTAATATTTTAATTTTTTGGTACTGTTCTTCTCATGGTGATAAAGAATTTCAAGAAGAAGAAAAATTTGGATATAAGGAAAAGATATTAGGGCTATGTTTGAAGAAGCTGATAAAGAAATACCAAATATTTCAACTTCATATGAGAAAAGTCCTGATGCTATATATACTAGTAGATTATTTACATTTAATAATTTAACAAAACCTGTTAATTCATCTCTTATTACATCATACCTTGATGAAGAATAAAATAATAAAGGTACTATGTTTGGTAATATATTTAATTTAACAATTATTCAATTTCATGATTACTGATTTTATTTCTTTTATATACTGTCAAGATTCTCAATTATTAAAAGGTAGGTAAAAATGATAATATGCAATACATTATATAAATTAATTAATTTATATTAATTTTATTTATTTATTTATTTATTTATTTTTTAAAACTGTAACGCATCTTTATTTGGATGTATTAGAAATAAGTTACATAATCCACAACAAATGATACTTAGAGCTGACCGTGCAAATCACGTGTCAACCCTATAACAGAGTAAGAACAAAAGACACATTACAAAATAATATAAAAATAAATACTTACTACTTGTCCCTACCACCTATTGTCGTCTATCCAAATACACTAAACTAGTCAAATTCATGATGGATAATGTTAACCTAAGATACATATGTGTAAAGATATTAGGCTACGACTACACCAACTCTCTGGGTCTAGTAAAACTAAGTCTAATCTAATCTCTACTATATCCCAAATTATGTTTCTAATCCTGCGAAAAATTTGACATAAAAGAAAAGAAAAAATTTAATTCTAGTAAAACAAATAATCTATCTAAAATTTTGGTATCGGGAAAAATTTTATACGTGAAAGTAAGTTCACGTGACTTCGATTGGATATATTATATGTTACTTATTTTCTATAATTCCTTTTCTTTTTCTTCTTTTGCGTCGTCTTCTTTTTGGCCTTCGTCGAGCTCTCTTCCTTTTCTGACTCGATAACGTAAGGCTTGATTTCTTCTGCCTCTTCTTCCGATTCCGATTCACTTGATTCGCTTTTCTTTGGTGAATCAAAGATCGGCCTCTTGTCTCCAACTTCTCTCTTGTCCTGATATCTGTTTTCATCTTTCAATCTTTGT